GTTCCACCTGACCACACAGCAGGATCCGTCACACTCCAGTACCTCCAACCAGCATATAAGCCCCACTCCCTGTCGGCATCTCTTTAGTTTCCTGACGACGGACAGAGCACACTGTCAGAAACGTTGAGCCTCTCCGGTTCTTATCAGAACCACACAGACTCAAAAAGAGATATTGCATGGTGTTTACCGCAAGCTTTCCATCTTAGTCTTCTGTCACCATGAATAGAAAATCCCATCCGTATCAATTTAGTTAATAAATGCTATGGCACAAGACAGGGGAGCCATGTTTCGGTCCCGTCTCCTACTACCACGGCTTTGAGTTTTGATCAAAACAGGCAACGGTAAAGAGCTGTAGCCAGTGTAGTCTCACATGGAGACACCGCACCACGTGTTGCCAACATAGAGTGCAATATAAACCGTTGAAAAGATTTTTTGTAGGGTTTTTCCTGAAGATATACCCCACATATGTATTTGCAAATGACGTTAGTAATGACATACATGATAAAGCCACAAGTGCAAAGATTTTTGTAAACGTGATATTAAGTCCTTTTCATGTGACATCGTCATTTAATGCCCTCAGAAGCCAGTACTTATCCTTGATATATCATAAGCTGATTTTTATCGACACCATTTAACCCTACTAAATTCTACACCACTGGAATATCAGCTGGACTTTGCGTTAGGTAATGAAAATCCCAGTCGCAAGAATATCATGATTTTTTTACAGGAAGAGAGAAAATCAACAAATTTTCACTGCTCGAAAAAGGCTCCTGCATATTTGATTACATAAGATCAATGAATAACAAAATAATTCCATCAGACGTCTCGTTTCCATCACGTTCTCGTTTCCATCCTAGTGTTCAGTGTACACCCCTGAACAAGCAAAACTAAGGTGAGGAAGGAAACATGAATGTCAATGCTTTGATAATAAACAATTCAAAGATAATTTTGAGTTCTCCCAGAGGATGGACAGAGCACCTGGTCCAAAAACCCACAAAAGAGATGCACCGTGATACTGTAAACCAAAGATCGTATAGCACCGCGAAGCGGCGCAAGATGGTGAACTTCACATTAATGCAAAGGCGCAGGTGCCGCGGCAGGCACGTGCACCTGGTGAGCCTGCACCTAAGCATTACCGTAAACTGCACAGGTGTATCACTTGCTCAAATGGCGCCCATGGTAATTACACCTTTTGGGCAGAGTTATCCATCTTGCGCCTTCGGAGCTATACGATCTTTGCCGTAAACCTTAGTCCTATGAACAATCCCTTTTATCTGAAGAGTCTCGGTGGGCACGGTTAGTAGAATGGTTCAGAGAGATTTTGAATGCAGCGCCTGGTTGGTTATAAGGGACTTACCATAGTCAGGATGTGTTCAGTCCTCTCTTCTGTTGTAAGGTACTTGTACGCGGCAGAGATCTCTTGAAATTTCTAATGAGAAAAACAGTTTTTGGCGCACATAATATGCATGGCTCCATATAAATTGTTCTTTCTGGATTTCGTGGGAATATCGAAGCAGGTGGAATTTGATACCACAAACCTGGGGTGCACCATATTTTGCATCCATTTATTAATAATATGAGATGATCAACGGAAAGCTTCTGCATGCGTTGAAGAAGATGGCTTTGCATGAATTGAAACTGACAACAAATGCCCATGTTAATTATTATAAGGCATTCCTGGACATTCTAGGTATACATGCACCTGGTCTAGACCCAGAATTCCAACAAGAAGAATTCATCATGAACCAGTGAGCATAGTATGCAACAGCTGTTACTAAGTAAACATTACATGCACTGTCAAAACATTGCATCACATTTTCCACTGGAGAAATACTGGTACACTTATTAGCATATTCATGTCATAAGGTGTCTACCTTGTGGGAGGTTTCAATTCCCCCGTTTCCCCAAAATTCCACAGAAACGCAAGATTCAAGCATTCAGTCCTTCCCTTAATACCATTCATCCATTTTATGGGCCACAAAATCTTTCAGCTGAGAATACTCTGGCTTGCAGCTGTGGTCTGGGAATTCTTAACTATCTGTCACAGCAGTTGGGAGCGGCCCAAGGTATAATTGGGACCAATGCCATAAGTTCCCCGGCATAGATGGTTCCAGGCACACAACAGCAGCCCAGTCTGGCCACAAGAAGCCTGTGGCTAGTTTGATGGTTTATTTACCTCAGTGGCCGCTTCATCATTGGCATGTTTATCAGGGTGCCACTTCAGCGCCAGCCTTTTGTAAGCTGCTCTGACATCAGCCTCGCTGGCACCTGCCACCAATAAACAAATCAACAACAATCTAGATGAGGTAACACCCAAAGAAACTCATGTCTATCAGATTGGAAAGTAAAGCAGTTTACCCCTTGAGAGATATGGGCACCCTTTTTATATTCTATGGTTCTCATTTCCGACCAACCCTATTTTGGGCTCGCGATCACAGAAAAAATAAAAGCTTCCCCCCCTTCTAAAAAGACCTGAACCCCAAAAATGGAATTTTTCTTGTTTTAAAGGATTTTCTTTTTTCGACCGACCAACCTTATCTCAAGTGGTAAAAGAAATGAGAACCATAGAATTTCATAAGGGCGCCCTATTGGAAATAAAAAATCAACAACAAACAGCTAACAAGAACTACATGAAAATTTGCAAAGCTGGAAGGAGGGCCTGGCATTTTGATCACAAAATGGGGTTAAAATTTCTTGCCCCTTTCACTGTAATTGAACACGTTGAAGCATATAATTATGCGTCTTACTACCAGCACATCATATTTCTAATTGGCCTTCACACAAAAAAGTTGTAAATGCACAAGTTTAACAAACTTTGCCACTTCCAGAAGTTAACAATATTTTGAATGTAATACCTGTAACTAGCATTATGTGTAAAACATGGGATTTGAATAGGCCAGGCAAAATTGATTTTTAATTAAAGTGGTGTCCAACGATACACATTAGATAAATTTCCATATTTTTGCTACTTCGATGTTTGTTATTGTTTCTTAAACGATTGGGCTATTTCAATCAATGGCAAAAATTCTGTAGAGATAGCATGATTCTGGCAATTTGTTCAAGTTGGGTGTTTGGTAAAGATCCAATTCCAACCCAGTTACTGGATGCAACAATGTACATCACTGACAACAACCAAAAAAACAGAAAAATGCAAGAAAAAATAATAAAATGCAAAAAAAAGGAGAATCAAAAAAACACTTGCAGACAAAAAAATTTCACAGAACAACAAATCTTTCTGATAGCAGTGTTGTTAGCTTTATCAAAACTCCACCAGGAAAAGCTTTTCATTTCCAGGCCAAACTGCACAAAGGGGTGAAGGGGTGACATTTATGAGTACAGCGGGGCGAATCTAAGTGAGCCAACCAACCCCTGACCCCTGATTAATGCATTGTGTTTGACAACGACCATATTACAGTACATATTACACTGTACAATCACAAACACAGTTGTTTTCCTGAGGTCTGGAGAGCTCTCTTTACTAGCAGTGCATCCTGTTTCAAAAAAACTCAAATGCATTGGAAAACATCGGATTCATTTACAACATGGCCATGTCATGAAACTGTTCAGAAAATTTCGTTCTACCATACCAATTAATTTAGACACTGCATCAGTCTACATACATGTACCTGTATTAAATATCAAACATTTATTTGCCTGTTCTGAACTGACTGACGCTATTCAGGAAAATCAGATGGTGATGTTGAACTAATCAACAGCAGTACATGGAACAGGGCATGCAATGTTAATTTATCTAAATAAAACACACGAGAACACCGCCATCAGAAGCAAAGAAAAAGTTGAAGCCGCTCTGGCAGTTGCTCTCTTCTGTGGCACAAATACGAAACTTTTAGCGCGGGCTAGGAGTAGGACCTTGAATTCAGACCTAGTAGGATGTCACACTTTATTTCCCTTTCAAAAAAATCCTCAAATCCAAAAAGAGTCACACATCATGAAAAGAAAAGTGAAATATCCCCAAATCATGACAATTTCATGTGGAATTTGACTTAAAACATTGAGGGAATAATTGGGACATTTTTGTGCTGGGAAAACAGTTGCAACTTGCCACAATGGCCCTGCTGGGATTCGGTCCGCGGACTGCATACTCTCCAAGCTGACTTGGTAACTACTGAGCCAAAGTGCTCAGTCACTTTCAATGGGAGAATAGAGCAAATGTATTGTATTGCCTATGGCATTCTAGCCTCGGCAAGCAGCCATTTATCAAAAAGTAAAGTGAGACTAGATGCTGGTAAAATGTATATTGGGCATAATCAGCCTATCTGTACAACCACCAGGTCGCTCTGCGTAATTAGTCAACCCCGCATGAAATCTCTAACTTTAGGCTCCCTACTTCTCCTTTTTGAAGTAGACTCTTTCACAACCTTGAATTAGAAAGAAGAGGCAATTGGCTGATGGTAGAATTATCAACAAATCATGAAATACAATAAACTGTTTATTCAAAGATCCCTAATTTTCCTTTGCAGTGGTTTACGAACAAGCAGAGAGTGATAATATGTCCTAAAAAGTCAAATTTAGCAAGAAAAATCTCGAAGCATTTACGTGGAAAACACTCAAAACATAATTTTTCAGGCCTCTCCTTACTAACGATCCGCTTATTTGGGCTTCATACCAAGGTGCATGTCCGTTGAAATGAAGACTAGTTTCCGGCCCATCCCAGTACTCCCAACATATGGACTGCCATCAGTACAATAACGCATCCTCATTCCAATTTGTACAATCTAGCCGCACCACGTTGGTTCCCAGTAAAGGAACATGCACACAATGCATGGAGTTGAGGTTGGCATTGACATAAGGCATCGTAACTTTTTGACTTCCCTTCGGATCAGCCTTGTCACGGAACCATAACACAGTACAGTTTTTTAAACAATGTCACCGAGCGCATGCCACAGTCTCGCATGCACACACAGGAACGTACACACGCATACCCGTGGCCACTGTCACAATCTCGCTGAATGGTCTGCACAGTAGCTGTGTTTGAATCGATACGGCTGGAATTTACACACGATTGTACGGAAACTGACCGCGACCACATCTTCCAAGACTCACGCATAAATTCAAGCCAAACGAGTGGATTCGGCTTAGACTTCAGTTTCGCTGGTTCCTGTCACAGCTTGAACATGTGGTTTTGAACGCTGCTCCAAATACTGCTCCAAAATAACTGGAACCAGCGAAACCTAAGTCTCATCCTTATCAACTCGATAACATTTCAAAAACGCTCGATTACTTCAGGTACTTCCTTTTCACGTCTGTGTGCATATGCACGTTAGAAAGGCCTGGTGCCCGACTGTTGGCGTCCCGTCGCTAAGCACAAAAGCAACAGCAATGACCAGGGTCTTTGCTTTTCTTTCTTCAACATAGGCCTATGTCTTTAATATTGTATGGGGGCTATAGTTGCTCTCATAAACTGACAAATTCAACTGCCTAGGGAGCAAGTACAGTACTTGCTCCCCTGATGATTAGCCAAATTTCAAGCCCTGATTTATCATCGTTATGTTATCAATGATCGGCCTGTTAAAGTGCCAACAAACTTCTGGCCAGTCATACCAGTGAGGTTCTGCCATGTCTGCAATAGGCCTACCTTGCTTTTTCATGTTTTTTAATTTTGGAACATGAATGTGGGGCCATGCATGGTCAATGAACATGCGCAGTGTCAACATGTGCACCGTTCGTTCTTTCGGGCATGTCAGTCACTCTGCAGTCATGATCAAAGATCATATATGCGGCGCAAGATGGCGAACTTCACCGTAAATACACGTAAAACATTGTAATCGCATACGCGCCATTTGAGCAAGCGATATGCATGTGCAATGCACATTAATGCACTGGCGGCAGGGCTAGGAACGTGCACCTGGTGAGCCTGTGCCCAAGCATTACCGTAAACTGTGCAGGCGTATCGCTTGCTCAAATGGCGCCCATGGTAATTACATCTTTTGGGCAGAGTTATCCATCTTGCCCCTTCGGCGCTATAGGATCTTTGGTCATGATCTAGTCCACGTATTACACTTCAAGTTCAACTAGGGCATAGGCTACATCATGTACCAACTACTAGCCTACCACCAATGCTTCAAGTTGAACTGGCAACTACCGTAGCATGACTAGAGAACCCGTCATGCCCGACAATTTGCCAACAAAACAAAGAACGACCAACAAATTTTCAGTGTGGCACATACCTCTTGGAACACCCAAGATGTCATAAGCCTTCGCCCTGTCGAGTGACATTTTTAAAAAGAAATTTTAGATCCTGTAGAGTGGACATTCATTCACTTCTTTCCACAGCTGTCTTCAGGGAAGCATCGGCGCACGTTTCGCCATGTCTGCGACATAACATGAACTTGCGCGAAAATGATGAAGTCACGTGACAAGTGTCAGAAACCCTGAACCCATCCCATTCAAATACGTGCAAGTGCTGTTGACTGCAGTCTGGTCCCTCATCGATGACGTCATAAACAGGAAACTGCACTTCCTGGTAAACTTTTTTGATGTTGGAGAAATAGCACTGCTGTTCAAATAAAAGAATCGTTCTTCTTTGAAAGGAATTTCAATATCAAACAATTTTGTTGGGCTCAATCGTGCGATCTACTCGACTGCGTTGCGCAGTCAGTCGATTCTTACTATCTTCCACACTTGCTTGGAAAGAAAATGCAATGGCGCACTGTGTCGACACTGGATAAAAGTTAAAACAAGATGAACGACCAGATCAGATCGTCAGATAATTTTTAAACAGAAGGTTAAACAGGCTGATGGTTCAAGTCCACGCAGAACACATTTTACACTGGGAAAGTTCCACTTTTAAAAGGCCTGGTGAAACTGAATTGCTGCCAGGAATTAGCTACTGGAAAGTTCCTTTTAGATTTAACGGGAGAACTTAAGTGTGAACTTAACTTCCTCACAAAGGAAGAGTTGTGTGGACTTGCACACTTCCAATGTTTTCTCCCACCCACCTTAAAAACACCTCGACTGACACTGCAATTTGGTGACCGCGCTGGCCTTGGGGGCTGCGTTGTGGCATGGAGGTGGGAAAAGAAGTCACATTAATGAGATAATGAAAATTCTTCACGCACGAAAATCGTCCAATACCAAGGCTGCTCATTTCAGTCGAGGCTAGCTCTTTGAGTTTTCTGCAAACTATGAAGAAACAAAAAGTTTCCACAAGAAATATTTCGATAAGATAATTTACAATTAAAGAAAGTTAGAATGTAAAAGGATTAAAAACCCAAACCGGTTATCATCAGTAAACAAAATGAGTATGGACCACATGGGTATCATTTTAGCACAGCTGAACTAGAGACATTTTATTGTAGCCTGAACGGTTGTAATTTTTTTTTACTATTCAAATATACAGGTGTAGGCCTATTGGAATTCCTACTATTCAGCTAACTTCAACTCTCAGTTTTTACTCTGAATTTCAGCTTCGTGTACCAAATAATGGGATCTTCAGCTTTTGCTAGCTATTTTAGCTGTTTTGTATTTGGCCACTCACATGCCTGAAACATTAAAACTGTTTTCAAATATATTTGAACTGTTTTAAAATACAGAATATATAGATGTGCATTATATCAATTCTGGCTTTATTTGAATAAAATTTTTAAAAGACCAAAAAGTGTCCAGTTTCAGTACCGCTGAGAAAACACAAGGTTGAAACAAGTGTGGTTGAATGCCATGGGTGTCAATTTTAATCTTTTCATAGTTGAATATTAAAAGCATTTCATTCATTTTTATGTAGGATTAGTGTAACGAAGCCCACTAGCCAACAAGTGATAGGGAAACTGTAGCCATCAGCATTAAAAAGAGACACATGATGGCTAAATTGTCCATTTATTTTAACGCTATGGTACACATAAACAAAGGTCATTATTTTCTAACTGGTATAAGCATTGGATAAACACCTTTTCTAGAAACAAAACCGCCTTTGGTATGCCCCCAAATATTTAGACAGTTATAAAAAATTAACTGTAATAAACACATCAGATTCGAAAGATTTGCTAAAAATTGGAATTTGGATATTGAAAAACATTTTGTTAACCAACAAACTGTACCAATATGAGTATATGTTACACTCTTGAGAACTTCAGAAGTACGTCCCCAGCAGTGTCAACTTGAAGTCAGTTACTTTCAGAAGACCTACAGGTATTTAGAAGATTGGTTTTAAAATGAAAATTGTTGGTCAGTTGCACAAATGCTGAATGTGAAAATTTACATAAATTATATCCAGAACTGCCCTTCCCTAAATTTATGCATTCAGTGATTTTCATTTCTAGTTCCCTTATGGATGTACTTGGTAATTTAAAAAAAAAAGCAAACAGAAGCTCAACCTAAGTCAAAACAAAAAAAGTGTACCAAGTGAAGAGAAAACCACGGAGGCAAAAAGGGCATAATAAACCAGACATCCGGCAGACATTGCTTCCCAAGTGTTTCATACGAACAAAGAATCAATAAATCTGTATTTTGAAACGTTGATTGCATTTTGCTATATGTCCAGCGGCACGGGGTACAAAATAGATCTCTTCAAGTAAAAAGTATCACTTGCTATTCTAGAGTATTGTTAAAGATATTTGACTTTTTTTTAACTTACAAAATAATACAAAAGTTTCTTTATAAACCTCTAAATATACAAAAGTGTTAATTGGTTCTTTTTAATGCCAACTATAGATATATTCACAATATCCTATTGACGTTATTGGAACAACTTTCAGCAATGTACATGACATTTCTATTTAGATACACTGTAAAAAAAAATTGTGGTGTGTCTGTATTAGAGGTACTATTCAATACAGACAGGACAGAGCTCGACACAAATTTATCAGAGTTCAATACATTTACATACAAATTGGTTCAGACATCACATAGCGTTAATACCGGGCGATTCACAATAGTGCGCCACCAAGACTTTGCAACACGTTGGCCAATCATAACGCGCGAAATTTGTCGACCCTTTCTAAACGCGCATTGGGTCGACAAATTTTCGCACACTGTCACTGGCCAACGCATTGGTGGTGCACTGTTGTGAAATGGCCGTATTTAATGCCACACTTTGTAGAGAAAATCAATCAAATACCGTATCAAACTGGTGCAAATGGCAAGTTACTGCAAAGTTTGCAAACAAAAATTACAACCAGTTAAACTATGATATATATTGTTACTTGCATCCGAGCCCAAGATAATGACATTCATGAAATGGATGATATGTAAAATCTATCCTAAAACAAGGTGAGAAAAGGGAAGCATATATTTTGTGGTTCTAAAGGTTTTATAGCAAATTAAATGGTACCAAGTGCAGATTTAATACAAATTTGTTGCATTTTGCTCCACACAGTAGATTTCAAAGTGTCAATAGGCTTATGTACTGACAACATCACACTTTGTTTACAAATGTAATTTCAAATGGAGCCAGTGGGGGGGGTCCAGCCAGTCAACTGAGCACCATAAGAAAGCACCCTCCTGAGGTAAACAAAGCGTGGTGTCATGTGTACAAAGGTCTGTATATTGATCCTCGGAGGGTGATGAAAGACCAAACTCTGTGCATACATAAGCCCATCCTACAAATTCCTAGGAAATTTTTCTCTTCTACAGAGGCTCATTCATTTTAATGAGAAAAGGGAGGTTGTAATGAGAAAACAAAACCAGAAAAATAAACAAAATCTGCTCAGTACTAAAAAAAAAGGAAAGCGAAACAATGAGAAGTTTGGCTATTACGGGGCTGAACAGCTCAGTTGAATCATTAACCCTAACACTCCTCAGTCCTCCAACAGGTGAAGGATTGAGGAGTGTTAGGGTTAAACCTAGATATTGTTGGGATCAAGCCCTGTTCTTCTCTCTTATTTACTTTGAAACTTGTCTATGTTCCCTACTCAGCTTACCTAGTGCTTGATTTGAAATAATAGTTTGCTACCCAGTGAAAAAGGTATAAGCAAAAATTACAAACGTGCTGAAAAAAAACAGTATTTGTATAACCACTGCGCCAAATTTAACCCAACGGGTCTAGCCCACCCACATCTAGCCAAACTACAATTGTCTTTCAATTTATTCTGAAAATTCAGCACCTTATCTGCTCAAAACCATAATGCTAGATAATTTCTGTTTCAAAGTATATTTAAAAGTCGGCCAAGGCAAGCATACAGTGAAGACACTGGTTAGTTTCCCGTGTTTGTATATTCAAAGAATGTGTACAGAGCATGATCACAAAATCTTTGGTCCGACTTATCCGGTTCACATTCTTTTAAACTAACCATTCCATCATAACAGTGTCTTTGGAAGAATCAGAAAAGAAACACTTCAAAACACGGGACTAAAAGAAGATAAGTCACTTTGAAAAATTATCTACATGGAAACATATCAAAATTCCGCAAGCACGTACCCGCAGCTGCAACACATGCCAGCGGATATAGAACACAAATTCAACACCGGTAAACCAAGGAAAAAGCTCCCTTTTTGAAGTTTGAATTAAAAATGACAGTTGTGAACTGGATGAAGGAAACGTCCAATTGTTGCGGATTTCTGATGTTAATGATCAAGGAAGGTTCTGGAGTGGCACAGGAAGACTAATTGAAGTAAGAGTTGCAACATAAAGCAGCAGCCATATTGGTATAGTTCCCTGAAGCATGGCAAGAATCATAATGGATTTGTCTGTTCCGAGTGTGAGTGGGGTTCCCGTCAAGTTGCACCACAATCCCAATCTTGTTTCTTGCATCATCGTCAAATTGGCCATTTCAGAAGCAGCGCTGTGAGTGACATACAAACTCGCAGTTGGCACATAACATCTAAACTGTAGTTATCGGTGGTCACCCTTTTGATAGCGTGATGTCCCTCCATATATCTCAGGCTTGGCCAGTGACCTTTCTTCTGTATTTCTGTACACTAATGGGGGAGAATTCCAAAATGGCCACACAGTTTGACGACACTATTAAAGACTGGTCTCGGGCCCTCGAACAAAATCCATGATGACCTCCTTTGGGTCTGCACTGTTCCTGCCGCTGCCTCCCGACTCACTCCCCATCGCTCTGTTTGTGTCCCTCTCCCAGGGGTCTGTGCTGGTCTCGTCCGTCTTGCTGTCTTCGGGTGGCTGGTGCACTCTAATTTCAATGTTGTGGGGCTTGGTGTACGTGATGGTACGCTCGCTCTCGTGGGGTGTCCTGGGTGTCTTGGGCTTGCCCTCGGCCGATGCCTCCCGCTTGCAGTCCAAAAGTTTCGAGATGAGGCTGAGTTTCAGCTATTAAGAGGGAGGAATGGAGAAGCACTGGAGATGTGTTAATTTGGAGCTGCTTTCTTCCAAACCAATTTAAAAATTGAGTACAACTTCTACCAATTTCTTTTTTTTTTTGCGGGGGGTAATTTTACTACAAGAGTAACATTAACTGGTAGGCCATTTAAAGGAAGGGGAATCCACAAAAAAAGTACAGTGAGGGTTACTAAAATTAATTCTACATGCATGGTGCACCTTAAAATAGTTTTGTTTTGTTAACGAGGTACAACAAAAATCTTCTCTTACAGATATTTTTCACCACAGGTGAGGAAATCAAAAGCAAAGAGAAACCAAAATTGTCTGTGAAAAGGGCAAGTAGCCAAGACCACGTTTTTTTTCCCTAGATGTCTTTAGAGTCAACGGTCAAGAAAACAATATGGTGATCGAGAGATGTCAACAATCCAATTCAAGTTAGACTATCCGATATGAAATCTTAAACTTACGGCAAGTGTTAGTGCTGCACATGTAGGGCATGAATATGACTCAACGCTGTTGCCATCAGAGGAGGCATGCAAGGGAGTTAAAACAAAAGAGGGATGGACGAAAGGTAAAAATTAGGGAAACTCAAAACAACCCGGGAGTTAAAGGAGCCAGGCTGGACCATTTTGGCAGGCAAGGAAACGAGGCAAGTTAAGAATTTGGGTTTATTCTGGGGAGAGGCAGTTACATGTCCAGTGGCAACCGAAGAACAGCTCCAGTGTGAAGGCGTGCAAGCACAAATCATCACAAATTAATGTTGAAAATATAATACTGCCAGGGACTGACACTGGTTGCTGCTGAAAGGGCATACGGTGATCATGTGTCCGTTTGAACACAGGACCTTTTATGCAAATAAGTTCAATGCCGGGACCTAACTCAAAAGAGTGCTCAAAATGAAATCAGCGAAACCGAAAGCTCCTGACATGTCCATGTAGCAGATACGTGATTAATGGTCCAAAGCCCCTCTTGTATGGTGGTTGAGGGCGCCACACATCGAACTGACAGTCTAACCCTTGAGGTGGCATATAGCTGATACACAAGTAACAGCCACACAATGACAGTCACATGCGGATGGCCTTCCAAAGAGAGCAGAGATGGTGCATGTTGTCACCAGATAAGGAATAGGATGACAGTCCGCAGAGAGTAAACTGCAGCGGTTTCCAGGATGAATTGGCACCCACGACCATCAGACTCCAATTAAGGGCCACATCTGAAAGTTTTGACTATAAAATGCTATACCCGTACATTTGTTGAGGCTAATTGGCTTGTGGCTGCATCCACTTCATACAGATGCATGAGAGCGCTAGCTTTATTCTGGACAAGGCCTGAGCGTGTTGCTTGGTTCTCAGGTTTTTTACTCCACGAGGCCAAGATCAGAAAACGCTCTTGACCACAACACTTTACAGCATTACCAGGGGTTATCAACAGCCCTAGAGAGTTGACGGATCATGGATGCTTGTGGTTTGACAGTATATTAATGAACATCTAGCTTTGGGGTTAGGTCTTGTAATTTCCGATCACAGGGTTGGGGGGGTTGAATCCAGCAACATGCATGGGTCTTGATCTTGGGCAAGTCACATGACCCCTCCACTTAGAAGTATAAATGGGTACGACTGGTGAGGGAAAAGACACATGTAGCATAAGTGTTTGATTGGACATTTGCGGCTGAAATACTCGCCAGGGTGCTGTGATGGTTAAGGAACTGTCATGGACTCAGTCGGCACAGATTCTAATGATGTAGTCCCCCAACCATCAGCACTGGCGGACATGTGGGCTTGTAAGTACATGTACCCATTACTGACAGGCGACTGAAAAAAAAAAGTACGGATTAACCCTTTTACCAGGTTCTCATCACAGATATCCCTGGTGACAAGTCATCCACTCCGATGATTCCATATCCGAGGCATCAGAGCCAATGTGCTCTGAAAGCTTAAGTGAAACTGTGTGGCCTCCGAGGTCCCCAGATGTGTGATCGGGACATGATAAGACCATCGTTATTCTGTTGATGGGAAGCTTCTCCAACATAAAATTGTGAATGGTTGCTATTGCAGTCTCTGGTTCTGTTGGAGGTTCAACACGAATCAAGCCCGGTGGCTGTATAGCATTTCTAATCCTCCCAAATCAAAGTGAGACCCCAACCAAATTTGAGGTTCATTACCTTTAGCACCCTGTTCCTATTATAAGGGAACGAATTCTACTTTTTCGAAGTAACTTATCTAAACAAGTTGTTGGTGATGTCCTCTTACATATCTGAAAGAAAAGAGAACAGGGCTTTCGGTTTTTAAGAGAAATGTTCCGATAAAACGGCAGCGCACATGACCGCCCCGAAGGTAGCTGTGAATGACAAATAAGCAAATGTAGTCTGGTGCCTTGATCTGGATTGATATTTGTTTTGATGAATCCAAAAAGCCTGAGTTGGGTAACCGGACGAAAACAAAATGGTGAGATTCGACTGAGTGGTTGTCTTTTGCCAAACTCGTGTCAGAAATTTGAAGTTTTCTTGCTTAAATATTGCCAAAATTTACCTAAACTAGGCCTATCAGGATTGAGTAATGGTTCCTTGAGGTCAAAATTTTAGTTAGTTTGAGAAAGTGGACTTTGTTTCCTTATTATAGGAACAGGGTGCTAATGGTAATGAACCCCCCCCCCAAATTTACCTAGGGGAAAACTTGACTCACCAATACCACAAAATGAAAACTCTAAAACTCTAAAAAGGACCATGCACCACCTGTGTTAATCAACAGAAGATTTGTAAAGCCAGCCTGTAAGAGAACGGCAAGAAAGATGCATGGGAGGAGCTAAATGCACCGGTGGGAGGTGGGGGTGGGGGCATGCATTTTTTTTTTTTACCCGAGCAGTTTTGAATTTCTTTGCAATGGTTTCAGCCAAGCCACTACCATGCCACACAAGCGCTACACAGATGGAGGTTACATACTTGAAGTTAAACACTTTCTAGGGCTGTTCATGAAGGTTACACATAATCTTCGGGCTCATCATCTTCACAATATGAGGTGTGCTACAGGCATGGTGAAAAAAAAATCTAAAAATAAGCCAAACTTTCTTCTCTGTTTTAGACAACCGTAAGAATCCATAAAGGGCTACACTGGATTGGCCTAAGCATGGTGACAAGAACAGCCAGAATCAATCATTTATGTCCATGAATGTCAAAACTGCTTTGATTTTTGTCTCAACGTCCCAAAAAACCCCGCAAGATTAGCAAATAAAATACGTGTCAGCAAAAACCACATTTTTATCTTCTGCACTGTTGTAAAAGTCAATGACCTAGGAGCAAACAAAAGCTAACATAAAACACCATACACACCCTGGTGTCTTCTTTTAAAAGCTCTATATACACACGTATGTGACCTTTCTGATCAGATATTGGAAAAAGCACAAACTTCTTCATTTGTTCAAAAGGCGGGTTATCTCCAAGCTTTGTAGACACTAAAATTCATGACAGTTTCTAGCCACTGAAGGCACTGAAAGATTGGATAAATTCAAAAGCCAAATTTGAGAATCCATGTCGGGAGCTCATCTCAGATTCAGGAACTCTGAACCAAAGCTCGTCTTTGATAACTTTTACAGATTCACATTAGACTTAAAACGTATGAGACTATTCATGCAAAGCGCATGCTTGAATACACATTCAACACAGTGTCACAGCCGCGTCGGAATTTACGTGGCATCGGCTGGCAGAAATACCAGTGGCTATGGGAGCCACTGGCTGGTCTGAATGCATTTCCCATAGAGTTGTGTTCTCAGCAGCCGTAGCCACAAAATTCAGACAAGGCATTAGACAGGAGTCATTATTCAGGACCAAACTCATCAAAACGGACTTGGTTTTAGTCATGCTTTGTTAACGAAGTATTTGGCAGTACCTAAATGGATTCTCCCCTTCTAAAGGTTTGATTCATAATGAGCAGTTAGCTGTAAAAAGCCTCATGTACCCGAAAGAAGCATGTTTTTTTACTTTCCCTTGCTAACGCAGCAATGATATGAAGAAGGAATAATTTTGACCAGAGAGTCATCTCTCTTACTCCGGCTTCCAATTTCATTGTATCAATTTTGCTACAATCTTGCAACATCGATCAATCTTGCTACATTATTTTCCAAAGTCATTCTATGAAGTAAAGTCATTGATTACTTGGAACAGAATAAGCAAAGAATTTAACATTTTACCAACATATTAAATAAAATAAATAAATAAATAAATAACAAACAGTGAGAGAAATTAGAATATGAATAGACAATAGGAATTACTTACGCTTGCTTGGGGGGCACTGGCACGTTTGGGGTTTTTCACTTCGTTTATCGAGTTTATCCATTCAGCCATGTCATCAGGAGAGTAGGCCTAAATTTGGAAAGACATGTGAGGATGTTTGCATGAAAATAAGTGATTCTCTTCCATGGGCGCAATTGAAGCGTACAATTGAATGGGCAGAAAATGCGACATAAATTCATCCAGCCGGGCCTACCTGTACGAAGAACGTCCTCGACAGGCTGACTATTTCAAACAAGTTGTCTCTCTGAAGTGCTTGTCTGTGGAAAAAGACCCAAACACAGCAGACGTTGAATTAATCTTTTGTGCAAAGTCATCCTCTTCAACAGACCAGTAACACTCTCTCTAACGCAAGCTGACGAAACTGAACCAGAGTGAATGGTTTTGAGTTCTGCAATTTCATGATTCCAAATCAATCTCTGGACGTGATAATTTTCATATTACGTCATTTTGTCCTCACTGGCAGATCTGTCAAGAAGACATTCATATGATGGAATAGTGATAGAACTTGAAAAACAACTAATATCTCACCCTGAATCTGACATCCTGGAGACAGTGATGTCTTTTTTCGATATCGTCTTCAGCGGAAGTTTGTCCTAAGTACAGAGAATAAACTGACGATCAATATGCATGTGCTTTTTAAAAATTTTTCCTCAGCCATTGAAGCTCGGCAAATGAATGAATCTGTCCTTGTGCGTTCTTCCTCTTACACTACCAGCATGGTGGGCACAAGCTTATCCAGCAAAGGGCGGGGGGGGGAGATCGCCCAGGATTTCCAAAGGGGAAAGGGTGGGTGCTACAAGTGGAAGTAAAACCAGCCATATGAGCAAGGCATAATTTCACTGATATGTGTTACCTTTAGATTTATTAAAAAGTTATCTTCGCCCACAAAAAAAAATTGTTTCGCAAACTGAAGTTATAAGGCACTACATGCAGCTTTTTCTTGTTTCTACTGCAGGTGATTTGCTATTACTGTCTCAACACTTCTTTGGTGAGAAGGTCTAAGTTCAGATCCATTTTACTCATCAAGTGTCAGGTAGGTATACTTACTGTTGAGGATTTGTAGTAAGCTAGACCTTCATCGTCCAAAATGAAAAACCTCCTCTTCCAACTTTTCCTCTGTGGAGTCCAGGGATTAGACCTTGATAAACCGCTTTTCAACGTAGATGTTAATGTACATGTATATATTCTTCTGTCTACAGCAGCAAATAAATTATCCTTCTGAGAAAAATAAAAGCAATTTGATTTCAGGCTTCTGAATAGAATTTTTGGTTATATGCATGGTGCACATTTGTGAAGCTATCAAATCTCTGCCACCATTCAACCAAAAAGCTGGGGTTTAGTAAATATGCTAATGCATTCACACAGCTTACTAATTTGACAGCCTTGCAGACAGAGGGAATACATCAGTATTTTAGTCCAGTTCATCAAAAGTCTTTCATGAGTCCAGTCACCAGCCTTTACGCATGACCAGTCACAAGTACAGGCCTTTTCACGCTAGACAAATCTCGGGGGTTGACGCAGATTGAACACTGGTGATGATTCACACTTGAAAGTTTTCAACCCCGCGCCAACCCTGCATCAACCCTGAGATTGATTTCAGCCCGGTTTGAACTCAACCCTGCTCCAGACCAGGGTTAAAGAACTTCCAACCCGAGTTGAAAACTTTTTGTGCTCATTTCCGGGTTGAACTGACTCCTATAAGCTCGGTTCGCATGAAACAAGTGTGAAACAACACCAGGTTGAAAGTGGGATTGAAAAAACAAATTTGAACCCACGGCGGTCATGGGTTTGCCCAAGGTTGAGTTCAACCTGGGTTAAGAGGCTGTAGTGTGGAAAGGTAGCAACAGGGTAGAACCACAACAAAGGGGCGGCTTTGGTCCGAATTCATTACAATTGCTTGCAGCTCGGCTCAAGACTGGGGAACTTGTGGTGGATTTGAAGACAACATTGAAATACGTGCTGTGCCTACATAAATGTACAAACACTCACTGGTGAGCTCAGCCAATCAGAATGCAGGAATTGAGAGGCCACAATTCAAGGCAGCCAATGATATTTTGGCCCGTAACTGTACTCATCCAATGCGGTTGGGGAACGAGTCTCAATCATGACTGAAAGAATGTTTCTGAAAAAAACCTCTTCATGTATTTTTAAAAGACAAAAAGCAAACAACCAAATAAAGAAACAAACAGCCTTTTACCAGTGCCCCCTGTTTGACGCACCAGCCGGCCTTGATGACGTTCCTTCCGGGGAATATCCTGGATAGACTCTTCTCGCTACCACCGGATGGGGAGACAGACCGCGGCCAGGACCTGGCCCGCAGGCTGGCACTCTCGTCCTCGCTGTCTGTATCACTGTGCACAGTCTGAGGTTGGGGGGGGGCAGGGAAGAAGAAAACAGAACTTAGACACTTGCTGGTTATCTAAAATGTAATCTCATTCATGTGTGAAAAAAGTGTCTTGGATTCAATCTGTGACTTAAGCTTTGGAAAGGTGTTTTTGGTCACGTTTCAAATTTTTTTGGCCACCAGAAATGTCTAAAATTTTCAGCAATGCTGTGGACAATACAACACATTGATGATTTCTTTGTTTAAACACAGATGTTGTGACAATGAATGTCCTAACATGTGCCATACGGGTAGGTATGTGGCAATGCCACTGCATGATATTTCCCACGTTAAATACAATTTCATACCGATCACATGACTGGCTGATCAGCCATTGTTACAATTCTCTCATAGTTTGTACTGTAACTGATGCAACATTTCTACTTCTTTCGGGTTGAAGCAAAGGACGAAGGAATACAACTACAAGCATCTAAACAAAGCAGAATACGTTTTTGATACTGGAGGCACAAACACGAACGGCAAATGTTCATCGGTGCACAACACAAGACGCGAAAGGTCCATTATTTGGCAGACCTGTCTCACATGTAAGATGAAAAGCCGTGTCAAAATGCATACTTTTGAGTGAATTTGGAAGCCCTCAACATCAAATAATTTAATAGCAACACTGATGAAAACTAAAAAGAAATACACAACAGAAAAATTGGTCTTTGAATATCTTTGCCATCAAGCATAAAACTAATGTTGAAGTGGATTGAGTGGAATTAAAGAAGCAATCTCCGTAATAGGAGGAATTTTGATTTCCAAACTCTTTTCCTCATCCTTTTATTCTTGGCTTTCGTGGTCAACCAGTGTTCCCCATTTTTCTTTAGGCTTAATGCCGTCCTCACGTGCCTTTGAAACGCTGCAAGGCTTACTGAATGCTTCAATTGGCACAGAAGACCACAAGAATCAAACTGGACTGTGCACCATTACAGACAAGATCCAACACTGCCTTCTATTCACTCAACAAATGTGGACTAAAATCTAGCCAATCTCTCAAGATTGCAAAACTCTGGCCAAAGTACAACATTGCCCTGACATTTTCATCAAATATGCAAGCTTATCCGAGTACTGCCTTTGGAGCCAAGAAGTTGCCATCAAAGCTCTACAGAACTATTTGCACATGTCAGTGTATTTCAAAGATTCTAACAGCACTGTGTCTAACACAGCAGTTCAAACTAACCAATCTGACATGTAGCTCATTGGATAGTTTGCTTCATGGAGCAGTGAAACGAATGCATTTTTCTCCCCCCGTCCAAAAAAAAAGGTCAGTTGAATGTTGATTTATGCCTATCATATCCAACAGCTGGCATAAAATCTTGACTGAACTGTTTTATTTATTTTTTTTTTGCTTTTTAAGACAAATAGGTCTGCTCTCACATGAGTCCAATCTGAACCCCAAATGAGGTTCTTTCAAATACTTTGATAAGTCTGTTTTGAATAATGGCAAAAGCTCTCAATGAATTGGTCATAATAATGCGATTGGTGGAAACTTGTGACTCGGTGCGAATAAATCTACATGCTTAATAATTTGCATAATGCACATGGTGCAGGGCAAGGGTGCACATATATCCAAGCATGCTTCAACGATGCTATGCACGACTTATCCAACAGAGGCAAGGCTTTGTCCGAATCAACTGGCTGCGGCTAGGGCCTTGCATAGGCTCATGCGTTATCCTCAGCCTCAGTCGCAACACTTTCGGACACGGCCTAATATGGAATCTCTTCAAACCACTCACAGCGTGTAGTAATGCTCAGGGCTGTCTGGCAACAAGCACAGCTAATAACGGGCTAACAGCGCATGCTACCAAACCAAAAAAAGCTGAAGACCGAGATTCTGTGAACGAAGTGAAAATGTTCACTGACAATTCAGTCTCATGTGGGCGAGCACAAGCCCTTGTTTCTCTCAAAACCAACATTTTGGGCAAAAATTTCAAACCTTGTAAAATCTGCCGACAATAAAAAATGACTTTTACTGTTTGCAAACCCTGTTCCTATAGTAGGTACACATAACACAGGCACAAATGACATGGTTCACTGGTTTGTACACTGCTAAGAAAACGCTCAACCGTAACAGCACGCTTGCAGCACTACCAAGGAATGTACGGCCCACAGTATGACTCAGCAGTAAACACAGAGCCTGCATCCTTGTCAATGTATTTCAGAAGGAGGCTTTTCTTCAAATTATGCTTCTCCCTACAGCCCACAATTCCTTCTTTTTTTCCTCCTCTCAGCACACCCACCAATCAAAAATTTTCTGCCAGAGAAAACAGTTTTTTGGTTGAACTGCAAAATTTTCTGAATGCTGCGTCATCTTGTGCACTGCCAAAATTGCAGCGCACTCAGTAGAACTCTTGGTGTCCTATACAAAAATGACATTCACCACCGTGTTTTACACTGGACAGACTGCCTTTGGAGTGTGAGTTCCCTGCACAACCAGAATAGGAATTTCAAAAAAATGTACGATGACTAATCCTGGAGGCATATTTCAGGTGTTCCTATATTTCACAGAACACTTTTCTACAATGACAATGTGTATCATTGTACTTTTTTAACAAAATCGTGAATTTCTAACTAGCTTCCAAAAAGTTCCTGAAAAAATTCAACACATTTCTGAAATCTGTAACTAGCCACATGGTAAGCAGAAAGTCATGACTTACAACCCCCCACAAGAAACTGCACAGCCACTGAAATCTCTGGACATAACATCAACTATGAATTGTGACACTGTAGATGACTTCAGACTTTTTGCCATAAAAGGGAAACAAGGCTTCGTTGACAAGCCCCATCAAGGCCACCATGAGAATAGGCTGAAGGTTGACAAATGTATTGTGTGCAGTAGCTAACGTTTTTTTTTTTTTGGAGCGTGAAGTTGACTACAGGAAAGCCAAACAATGCAGGTGGGCACATAACAGCTTGCCAAACTGGACTATGAATCATTCAAACAAAAGAAATTTGCACACTGATTAACTCGTTACAAAAGGCGCACAGACAGAGACACTATAGCAACGCATGCAGCACCGACAGAAGCAATCGTTACTGTTTGGACACCTCTGCTTGTTTATATCACTTGTTTTTGTTAACTTCTTACAGTGCGTGAATTCCCCCAAAAATCATCTTTTCTCATCACTTTTTCAGAAAGACTTACAGAGCAAATCATTGTGTCAGAACTATAAGGTCCTTACTGAAGAGATATTGCTTGGAACATGAAACCAGGCAAGAAATTTGGGGGAAATTTCAATACATTAGCCCCCTAACTTCATGTACAAATAAAATAGCCAGTGAATGTGTTCTGTTTCCACTAAATATTTTTTCCAAGCTCGGAATAAGGCCCTGAGAGTATTTCCGAAGCTCACGTGACTGCCGTAAGGACCCTGTGGTACTGAACTGATGAAACATGAACTTCGGGAGACTTTGAGAAGCTGAAGGGAGGGTTCTTGAGACATTCTAAAGAGGTCCCAGAAGTAAGGATTGCCTTTACGGATGCACTAGTATACAAACAAAGGATAATGCATGGGACATGGGCACAGAGGCGGGCAGCGGTGGAGAGTGACCGGTACCTGGGTCAAGCTGAGCTGGGCCTGGTGGACAGTGGTCGGCAGGGTCTGCTGCTGGCCCAGCGGCTGTTGGCTTACCCGCTTGTCGCTGCTCTTCAGGTTGCAGACAAAACACAGTGACAAGAGCACACTGCTGTTACATGGCTCGCATTTTAACACTTGTTTACAGAAATGGCGGCGGATGGCTTGCCGTCAGTAATGTGTATTTGGATTACTCAGGGCATTCATGCCGGGAGGGTCCCAATTTCAGGGGTTCTGCAAAGAATCTGTGATTAATGTGGTAGAGCATTCCCTGCTCTGCACAAGAGTATTGTATCTGGTATCTACTAAGGGATTTTTATGCCCTAACACTGAGTGCAAGATTTCTGTGCAAGTGCTAAACGCAAGCTATAATGATCGCAAGCACAGAATTTTGTGGTTTGCAGAACCATGAAATTGGACCAGGATTCAGCACTGTAGAGGTTTTCTAAGGTTCGTGGATGTTTTCCCTGAAGTCCATGGCTTAAAGAGGTTCTTCCCGCAGACAAGAATCTTAAGTTGGGCTGTGGAAAACCCAGGATTTGTTTACTCCGTTAAATTTTCACACCCGATGGATTTCTGATCTTTTTTCTTCTTTGGTCTTCAACTTGATGAGAATCTTGAAAATATTGAATCAACAGAAATTTTTGGTGAACAACTTTAACCTGTAAAATGGGTGTCTGGCTGACACGGTATTCGAATCCTTCAAAGCCTGGATGCATTACCATTTGTGAATGGGAACAAAGAGAGATTCTGCAATCGTAATGCACTTCCACATTAGAGGGTATGGCATACAGGTTATGAGATCATTATTTGAGAGTATTATGGTGAACTGTTACTGAGGAATCACACGGACGACGACCTCAGGAAAACTGGCACACGCTTAAATACTCCAACCCCTCCCTCCAAAAAAAAAGCTTAATTGAAGAACGGAAGGAGGACAGACTTTTTCAATTTTTTAAAATGATCGGTTTTTGAGAGATTTTATTGTGGGGATCAATCTGTAAGTCTCATCTTTCATGACTCATCGCACTGACTGTTACTGGAACGCACTCATGTACATGTATTGACATACGATACATTTATAACTTGTAGTTCTGTGACAGACATTGAGGTCAGACTGACGCCGAGCAGAGCTAAATGGTAGTTTCCTCTCCCTATTGACGTCAGAAGTATCGGCCTGATTGCGACCAGACTCCAGTCACTAGAGGCCCCGTCATGGGGTTTTGCTCTTTGTTTCAGTCCCTATTTGGTCATGCACGCTTTCACAATCGGAACTCTTTCGACAGCAGGATATTTCCTTCCTCGTTTTGCCGCATAATCGAAACCCTGTGTCGAATCTGACACCCAGTCTACTGTGCGTGAACATGGACTAGAAAGGCAGCAAAATGAATTATACAATGTATGTAAATGAACTAACTGTAAGATGAAAGGGGTTTGGCATTTTAAGAATTCAATGACGAAAGCACCACTACATTGACTAGGGCATCGTGTTCAGTCATCCTTAATTTTCACAGTGAATTCCGTGAAAGTTTCACCGAGAAAAACAAAACTCCGCCCCATAAAATATCAATTTTCACATTTTTAAAGAGGCACTCTCTCTCTAGCCTGTTCATGCATGCATGCTCCTGTGCAACATGCATGCGGCACTCACCCGTTTCTTGACTTCTAGGTACAAGCGCCGCGGGACATAAAATTTCCATTTAAGGGAACTCTGTTGAGCACATTCAATCAACACATACAAGGTGATTCAACCACGTGACCGGCTACAAAAAGCCGTTCAGGGAGGCTCGATGAATTACGTATTCAAAAGTGTGGGAGGGTGAGTCACTGTGTTGGGTAACCTCTCTGTCTGGCTTGTTGGACTATGCATTCAAACATGTGGAATGAGGAGCCACCATGATGGAAAGTCACTCAGAGTGGTTCAACTAATTTTCCATTGACACGTGTACCGAGACAAAGAACTCTATTGGCCAGCCATGTCAAAGTGGCTTGTTGAACTTTGTATTCCGTGCAATGTCGGCTGACAAGCCACTCCAGGAGACCCATGAACATGTTACTGCTCAATGCAACCGGATGACCTACTGTCCCATTTGGACTTGTTGAATGAAACTTTCGGCTACGATTTCGTACATCATGAAGTGAAGTGGCTGAATCAATGTGAGACAAAAAAGACAAGGCGATTCTGCGGTTAGTTTACGACCCACCTCAACAGGCTTCCGATGAACAACTCCCCCTACGATCTCCGTTGTGTAACTGATCCCCCGGACTGGAGATTTCGGGGACGAGTTGGCCTGGCTGTTGGCCTTGCCAATGTCCAGCTTGAGAGGAGTGGACACTTTGGACGCGTCTGTAACTGGCACCTGCCGAGAGAGAGACACGTGTGTGACCACAGGGAAAAATTACCACTCAAATTGCTTACATCTATGACACGTTGGGAGGAGTCCATCCAGGGTAACATACAGTAAAATGTGATTTAAAATGCCAGTGCTACATAAGAATTACTATAAATATGCACAAAATGTATGTATTGCCATGTTTACAAGTTGGTCCTTATGTAGAGTTTTATTCTTTTTCCAAAAATACCCATCCCAAAAACAAAAAAGAGCAACCTTTAAACAAAAGTGGTTGTTATCGTGGATACCACGAAGGCAAACAGGAAAGCAATCTTGCCAAAATAAAAAAAAATTGTTCACTATTACTGCAGGGAAATTCCTACATCTCTTTGAACATTTACTCTGAACCATCACAGAATGTCATTAAATAGTTCCGCACAGCCGGTCGTTTAATGGAAGCAGGAGTGTGACTTTATGCTCTTTTTGTTGTGATGTGTCACACATTGGTTTTGAAATATGGCAATTTCCACGAAATTTAACAACACATTGAAGAGAAAAACTGTTTGGTATAACCTGGGAGGCTGCCATAGCCACCGCTACATGTCTACACTGACAAGGACAGCCTGTGAATTGATCACTCTTCCGTTATCATGTCAAAAATAAACTTTGTGCAATCTTGATTTCCGTGACTTTCCCATGACTTTCCTCCGACATGAGAATTCCAGGACACCATTTTTCCCCTCAATTTTCCCATGCTTTCCCCGTGACTTTCCAGGACAACTTATGCTTCCAGCATTTTTTTCCAGGATTTTCCGTGACCGTGGGGGACCCTGATCGGGTAATCAATCAATTTAATTGTCTGGAAGGACTTTCTCACCGTGACCCGGCAAGCCTTGTTTAGACTTAGAACCCATTCCTCCATATCTTGCTGATTGTCTGCTCGGAAGTAATAGCTCCGCGATGGTACGCTTACCACTAATGTCACAAAGGGGAAATAAAAAAGAATAAAAGAAATTGAAACTAATGAATCTGCTTTCATAGAGAAATAATCCTTCACGGTGATAACCCACAGTGGCAGATCACCATTTACAGGTTTCAAACTCTGTGTAAAATATGAGTTACATTTAATGATTAGAAAACGTGGCTGCTTTTTATTTTGAAGAAATATAACAACATTTTCACCTGCCAGTCTGAGAACTTCCCCCAGGCCCTTTTCATCAAACTAACAATCCTTTTCCTTTAATTACATGTAAACCAGAAAAAAAGAGCTTGATAAGCAAGGAACTGTTGTTTTCAAACATTTGTAAATGTGGAGGTCACTAATATTTTGTATTATTTCATTCTTACCACCCCCAACAAAGAAAAACAAGTTTGATCCAAACTACGCAACACCTTTGGGTTACATTTAGCTGGTTGCTGTCATCATCACAGACCAGGGTTGTCTGATTTAAATCACCGATTTAAATCATGATTTAAATCAAATGATTTTTTGAAAAAATCTCTGATTTAAATCAACCTATTTAGATTTTTGGGTAAAAAGGCAAAAATGTTTCAGTTTTTGAATTTTTTTACTGATTGGAAATGTTTGTAGGTTTTGCACAGTTTAAACAGCAAATCCCCCCTCTGTGAGCCTTCCAGTTCCTTGTATCAAAGAAGTATGAATGCACCTGTGTTACACAAAATCTGGGTCGGCAAGATTTCTATGTTCTGCCCACTTGTTTTGATTTAAATCGTCATTTTGGATTCAGTAAGTGTATTTGGTGTGAAGGATTTATAATCATGATTTAACTTTACTTCATTTAAATTGCCCACTTTGGAGTTCAACCGTAGAGGAAGGACACAGAAGGAGTTAGAACTCTGGCACTTCATAGTGCTCGATGAGCATTGCCGCTCAGTCAGACAAACAATAGTAAACATTCCAAAAATGCCTGATTACTGCCTGCAGCTTTAATAGCCGTACAAGTGGGACCAGAAATATCCTAGCAATATTTTGTGTGTTTTGTTTGCAATTAACTACAATTTGTCACCGTGACCAGGAAATAGAGAGCGAAAAACAAAAAAACATTAGTTTTGCCATCATGAATAAACTTTTTTCTTTGAGACGCTGTTCCATTATCCATGCAATGTTTGTAATATTATTTTGTCTCTCCAAAACATCAGCTTTCGAAGTCTTTGTACAAATTCGGCTAAGACTGGCCAATAACATGTCGACCACCATTGGACAGTTAAGTTCATAATAAACAAAATGCACTATTTCATCACAAATGCTCAAGAGATCTCATGAAATACCTTTTAGTATCAATGCCGTGATAAAAATGATTCAACTAAAGCACAGTATCTTATAAACAGCTTGGCTATTCATTCCCAAAATAACTCCACGAGAAAGCGTTTCATAAGGGCAATGACTGCACATGAACACTAACGGCACACAGCCTAATGCAAACAACTGTGCAAGCATTAGATTTAAAATTATTTTCAGATCTTACCAAGCACCATCGATGGCATAAATATTCAACTTCCTATACTGCAGTACACAACATTTAAGGATGCAGATTACCAGCGAAAAATTGCGGCAATGATCATAGGGTACAAACGGGGCTTATGGTTAAGAAACAGGTGGTCCGTAGCAAGCATTCGCTGCGCTCAGGCTATGGACGTACATGTACTAGACATGCCAGAAAGCGGTAATTGGCTAGATATTATAGCCTTGGCAGTTCAAACTCCCTCAGTGTCCTTCCTCAATGGTTTAACATGGTGAAGTATCTGTGTACATGAACCTTTTAAAATCTCTACAAGTGTATGTATTTTTCTGAGATTATAAATGTTAGTCATTATAGTGTTACAGCTAAAACCACTAAATTCATGCCCGTAATAAACTGATTTGAATCAAGCCTAAAGTCATTGCTCTGTGGAACTGGATCACAAACAAAATGAGACTGCTTTCTGCACACAGAGGAAGGTACAGTACCAGAATATTGTATCTACACAGGTAGCATGCAAAATAAATGCATACATGATGTTCATGGCATGTTTCTCCCTCAGTAATCGTTTGATGCATATATAAGTACCCCATTAACAAATTCTTGTGAACTCTAATTTTGTCAAAACTTAGGGTTCGGTTTAAAACCTGGTATGCACTTTATCCTTGGTATAATGTGCATGTACTTGTACTTGTCTCTGGAGGAAGTGTCCTCTCTGAGGGTTCATGGGCCGGTAGGTGTTATACTGCATGCATTTCACCAAGGCTAAGACAAGGCGGTTTGTGAATTTAATCAAAATACTTGATTTAAATTTCTTAATTTAAATCCAAATTTGTTTAATTTTGTCACAAAACAAACAAATAAAAGAAAACTATTACACATGCAGCTTATTTGCTTGCTTTTGAATGGACATTGGAGCCAACTTGTCTTGTATTTTCATAAAAATGAAAAAAATCTAATGTTTTTGATTTTTAAAATTAAAAAAAACCCAACAACCCTGTCACAGCCCCTCTATAACTAAGACAACTTCCACATTCCTTCATTGCCTTGGTCCATTTTTTACCTGCTCTATTTATCCTTCACCCTGGTCTGTCATCCATAAATCATTTAGAATGACCACAAAGCCACAGGTTTGCAGCTCAAAGATAATCCAACTACACTGGCCAGTTCAACTGGCCAACAAATACATTCACCCAGGAAAGAAAAGATCGCTTAATAGGGAAATTCCCAAGTTTCCTCATTGGTTAAACCACAACGAACTTCTGTCCAACGTCAGGCGCAGCTGCATCGCAGAAGGCAAACAAAAATAGATCGGAAACAGCTCGGGAGTTGGGCAAATTAAAAAGAACTGTGCTTCCCGAGGGGAAACCCCTTAAACTAGAAATAAAAATTGGCAGTCAACATGACCTTCCCCCCATACTTAGAAGTGTGAATCATTGAAGGCTCTTCACACAGAGTGAATTTTTTTCTTTCCAAACTTTACAGCAGCCAATCACTTCCAAAAACAACTCCCAATTTCTCTTTTTTTTTCTGAATCCTGTACCTGTTTATGTTTGCGGGGTGTCATGCTGAAACTTCAGTTTACAAAACTGAAGTCTGAAGTCTGAAGAAACACAGGTCTACGGTTGCAAACAGGTTACAGGTACTTGAAAAGAAGTGTTCTAGCAGAACACTTGTGACAAAAATCTACAGCTGACGACGCAGTTTTTCTATTTGGGTCTTCGGATAGAAAAGGAAATTTGTTTGCAGATATGAACTTAGAATTGGCCTGAAAGCACACTGCAATGTTTTTTCTTCCTCTGGGTGTATTCCTATTTCAATTTCCCTTAACTACGCCACAAGAAAATAGCAGGAATGTGTCGTGTCATCGATGGGGGGGAGGGGGGAGAGGGAAGGGAGGGAGGGAGAGAGACGAGTGCAGCAAAGGGACAGAGTTATTTTGGGAAAGCCACAAACTCTTTGACAGATGAGTTGATTCTACGCAGTGGTTCAATTGGGTATTTCCTGGTTGGCCAACGCCAGCTGGGGACTGGCTAAACAAGATGAACAGCGCCGTGACAGTCCATCTATCCGGGATGTACCGTACACATAACACATGACTTGGTGGGCGCATTTCCTGGTAGAGAATGTGCCAATGCACAACTGTGAACATGCATGACCAAGAACGTGTATACTTTACACATTCAATCTGAAATTGATGACTTCTGCCTGTATGCATGCATTGCGGACAGTTTACACACAAGTCATGCACAAATGTGCCGTAATTGAAATGCCTAAGGTATTACTTTGAAGTCTGGTTAGCATGCATTAACACAGAAAATATCAATGTTTGACTTTGTTAAAGTGGTAAATCTCGGCACGATTAAAGCTGTCACAAATGTTATATATCCATGTACATGCAAGCAGTATGTAATACAATTCACACTAAAGCGACCTTATCAACAAAGTACGTTATATTTTCTGCAAACATGACATTCCCGTGGCACAAAACAGGATTGATATTTTTTCAGCCTTTCAAAGTTTAGACAGAGAGAGAGCTACATTTGGCTGGTTTTGTAACACTGGCTGAATGTCCATGTATACAAAATATAAATTTATGCTGCTTGAAAAAGACTCAAGAAATTGAGTGATTTTCTGAGTGTTTTTGCGTATTTCTGACTTCTGGCATTATTCTTTACATCTTAAATGAGAGAACCCCACACTTCTGGGAGAAAAAAAGACTCACACTTGGACAATGGAGTATCCTGGAAAGCTTCCATAAACTCTGCTCAATGACCCTGCTTATCCCCTTCCCACCCAAAAACTCAACTTCCTTAAAATGGACAGATACTCCTTAACTCATCAAATCGCATGCGCGCCATTGGTAATGTTCATTTCCTACAACTGTCAGACTGGGAAAATCAAAGCAAAAACAAAGTGCAATGATGCATGTACTTCAACTCGGCATCAAAACAGGAGGGGAAAATATTGGAAAGGGGATCTTTTGAAAAAACTGCTCAAGAATTGCGATAAAGTCTTGTACTTGCTGTGGACTCTTAGTTGCTGCATTGTGAAAATGTAACTGGCAGAGAGGGAGAGGTCGAAATAAAGTTGAAGCCTAACCCTACATAATACTACAAATCACTACTTGTAGTTAAATGTAGTAATCAGTGCTGCCGCTTGTAAGAGGTCATGACCTTATTGTTCTCTGAAGCCATAAAATACAATAGAAAAGACAATGTACCATACAGTGCTGTGGCACTACGAATGAGTGACTTTTGTTCTCTGTACGAGTAACAATGGAAGTAACCTGGCCAGACATAGTAATCTGTAGCGCTAGGTCCTTCAGGCTCAGGCTAATAGTACTAAGTACTGTAAGCCAAACAATATGCTTGGCGGTTAAGATTAAAACACACACTGCATCACCAAGAGAATGTACATTTCTAACCACAAGGCTACACAGTTCACTTTTGTGTTTACTTTCATATTTAGAAATGAATATTATTATTTTTTATTTTCATTACCATTCTTCTTTGCCTTTTCTTAATTTCTTGATTTCAATTCGCGTTATTTTATCAAATATATTGGTGACATTTAGGAGGCCACTGGGATACAAACAAGAAAGACTGTCTGCCAATCATCTTGGAAAATTATTAAACATCATATCCATCTCCGTTTGATGCCATTCTTTTTTCCACAGACAAGTGTACCTAAAGTTGAAAGTACAATACCACTGTGGTTGAGAACTAAGAAACAAGGAGATCCCTGATTGAGATGTACTTCTGTCCATTTGTACTGCAGTCATCATAATCCTTGTTCAATTCACCTTGGATACCAATCCAAGGTCTGGCAGGCTTAAGACAAGCGGCAGCTGCCTGGCAGGAATGTCTACATGTACCTGTGTATCCTGCAGTTTTCAAACTAACCCTTTCCTCACAATGTCTCGGCCGAAGACAGGGAAACCGTATTTCCCAGTTCTCCAGGCTCACTTTGGCACAGGATGAAGAAGCAAAGGGTGTTAAGAGCCAATTTAGACGAATACTCATTCATTTTCAGATTCCTCATGAATATGTATGACGCACATTTCTACGAGGGCCGGTTGCATTGACTCAAGATTTTAGAGCTGTCTGTCTATGGGTTTGCTGCCAAAGAGGTGAGCAGACCATTTCACAAATATGTATGAGGCTTGCTTCTACTATTTAAAGACAACATGAATATGTACTGTATGAATCATGGTTTTACTATTAAAAGATAACATGAATATGTATGAATCATGTTTTTACTATTAAGACAACATGAATATGTATGAATAATGTTTTTACTATTAAAAGACAACATGAAAATGTACGAAGCATGTTTCTACAATTAAAAAACATGAATACTGGATGTATGATGCATGTTTCTACTCTGAAAAGAGAACATTAATATACACGAGCATGTTTCTACTTTTAAAATAGAACATTATGAGGCATGTTTCTATTGTTAAAAGAGAACATAAATATGTATGAGGCATAAAAGCAGTGACATGACCACAAGCAGCATAAACAGTTTGGAAATGACTTCTGAAAATGGCCAATGTTGACACAACATTAATGCCTCAATGCTAGATTGCAAAATCACAACCGTAACTACTGGGCATTTGTGGCCTTAAAATAAATCAAAAGAGAAACAAGAGGAAGGATTCATCTACTTTACAGTAAGCAATATTTGACTCCACACTTTCTAGAGTGCAATGTGTGTACTTCAGGCTCAACGAGAAATGGGCCGCTGACCTCCAAGTCTACGATTTGAGGCACATGACAAAAGCCGCGTGCCTGCACAAGTCTGAGAGTTTTCATGAGAGGAGACTGGATTCCACAACAGTCTGAATGTCATGTGACATGGACATTCTGCCAACTGAGCCAGCCAGTTTTACGTCAGTTCACCCTCCTCCCCCCCCCCCACTGCCGATATCCTTCCTCTAAAGCAGTTGAGATGAGATTCCTCGGGATTACTGTAGGTAATGCATGCTGACAGCGGTCAGGTGGTCAGCACTCAGTGGTCAGTCTTGTAGACTAAGGCCCTACTGCCAGTCAAAGAAATCGACACAGGCACACGGAAACCAAACTACACTACTTCCCTTTTTGGGGCCGTGACTCTATGTACAAACAACTTTATCACGTCTTGATCATTTTTATACTGATAACTGATTTTTAAGTCGACGAAAGAAATTGTATTTTCCTCCCACAAGAAAATTTTAGATTGGAGGGACGGGAGGGGGGTCATGCTGGGCGAGTGAGTGGCTAAAGTTAAATGGTAGCAGTGGCATGTGCGAAATACACGAATTAGTGTCGAATCAAGATTGAATTTAACTCACCAAAACAAAACGGTACTTTTGGCCTTTGCTTGGTAGCATCTCTTGCCTGAAATGAAAGAAAACATTTACAAACATCTTTCCCCCCAAAAAGCAGTAAAAATATGGGGGATGAGCAAAGACAAGAATACATTACAAGAAACCTGGCTTGCTGGAGTGAATGTTGGTGATGAGAAAACATTGCAAACAAGCTATTACCATATCTAAATAGTCTAACTTGAGAGACACAGGCAATATTGGTGATCCAACTGATTTGTGTAACTCAAAATAGGACAATTTTTCCTTCAGACTTAAAGACATTAAGTAAATGTGCTCAAGACCACAGGAGAAATGGTATTGGCATCTTTTTACGATACAAGATTTCCAAAGCTTTCAGAAAGAACAAAATGCAGCTCATACGTAAGTGGCAGCGTAAATATACCACATATGGCCCAGTCCGAGGTTTTGGGAATTTGCTTTGTCTCGAACCGAGAACTTTTCTTTCTGGTGGCAACTTCCTAACTTTGGATGCACGTGGACATGCAACACATTGTTTATCCACGACTGACACTCTTCAACAGGTGGAAAATGATAAAATCAAACTACATGTAGCTCAATACTTTCACTTCAAAGGTAGAATTTTCCCTATTCCACAACGAGCGAATGACTTTGCAAAAGAGCCAGCAAACTTTATAACCGCAGCCGTTAAATCTTCCCCTTTTTACAGAAACAAGATGCATTACTCATGAGACTCGTAATCCAAAGACGGTTTTACTTTTAATGTTATCATTTTCCCCTCTCCACCCACCAACCCCCCCCCCATATTGAAAGCAAAACCTTACCACAACCACAAACGCTTTCACTATTTTATCATTGAGGAAACGTCAATCCACTGAATGATTTGATTACCCTACGCCTTACTTTGATGAATCACATACTTGCACTCTACATGTAGTTAAGGGGTCGTGCACTGGTCTTTCCACCTATTTTGCGCGGACCGAGAATGCTATGGGGACCAATTTGTGTCCCTGAAAAGTGGTCCAGAATTTCCTAACAAAGGAAACTGTCCCCTTAACCCCGGGAAGGCCTGCCCGCATCTACTTATTGGCACATTACGTAACGAGTGTGGACATTCCTTTGGTTTTCGAGCATTTCATGATTTTCGGCTGGATTATTGTAAAATGCTGAGGTTAGCACATACATACACAGACAGAGAAACAGCACTTACATTGGAAATCTGTGACAACTGTATAGCATCAACGTGACTTGTTCCATCTGGAAGATTCTGTGGTGAATAAGACGCAACAAAGCAGAGCTTAAAATGAAGGAAACTTATGCAATTCTAGTAACTAACAAACACCGTAATGGAACCCACTAATCAAACCCCAGAAGTAACCTGTATTCCCACCCATCAAATACATTCATCATTTATTATTCATTCAGAAGTACCTATGTCAGTTCAGCCATTCCAATTGGTCAACTGTCAGGAGGCTGGTCTTACAGGAGTGATAATGCACTACTTGGCTCACTGCATTCTGCGCCATCTCAGGCAGTATGCGCCACGGAATATGACTAGCACCAAGGGGTGTGGGCTTCACAAACCAATTCAAACAAAGGCCACGTCCAATTCAAGCAATCTTCTGGTTACGACTTGGTTTTTTTTTGCCAGCAGCACGGCTAGGTGCACGGCTGTGTAGCCGTTGGCAACAATACCTACATGTAGGGCTTAGACTCACAGAGGGATTATCCATGTACCACAGCAACTGGCCTTTCTCCTGGTCAATCAGGAAATAGCGACGAAAGAAGCGACCATTCTGCTCGGGATCCTCCAGGTCCATGAACCCGCAGGTCCGCCCCTGTCTATCCATGTAGGGCATAGCGGTAAGGTCTTCCTACCAGAACTCGCCGATGGACCCAAAAAAAACACCAAAGGTGTTCCCAAATAAAAAAGAAAAAAAGGAAAAAAAAAAACCTGTGGAAGATAATAAAAAATTAAACTTAACAAGTTTGTACATGAGCAATAAAAAAAAACGAAAACTGAACTAAAAATCTTGACTGTACCAAAAGACTGGAATGGTATCTTTCCAAAGTCTGCACGCTGTTTCAACATCTGGATGCTGTACAGCACATGACAGCCGCAAATGTTGGACTCTCTAAATACCAGTTGCTTTCTGTGTCAAATCATGAGGGCAGATTTGCCACTGGCTTCTTCCTACTGCTCATTCATGGCCATGGTCATTAGTGCCTCTGAGTAGGATGGATACCCTTTAAGTTCCTTGGCTCATATGATAATGACCTAAGCCTATAACGCTTTAGCCTGTTAGCCTTGGCCCAAGTCGGGATCTCTGTGACGTCTTCGTTTGTGCTGTGGATACATGTCGAGACCGTGCGTCGTTACTTGCTTCGTGCCCTCTTGAGTCAACTTATTACGAGGAGGTCAGTTCAGAAATCCTGACTTGACGAATGTGCCAACCGTTTGTACACAGCGAATCAGCTTATCTATCAAAAGTGGTAGGAGCCAATCACATTGCTGGACTTGTTTTTATGTTGTTCATACCTGCATTATAATGAATGAGTCTATAAGTCTGACTGATTTGATAGGTGGAAATTCCATATTCATTATGCAAGATCAAGTCGTTCATATGCAATTATGACTAACTACATATCACTGACAATTGTCCAATTGTCTTATCCGTCAAGTCAGACTTACTGACTGGTGACGTTCAATACACGTTATACAATAAAGGCTTTCAAATGAGGGCGTCCTGTAAGGGTTATGCGAGCTGCCGGGCCGGCCGAGCGCAACAACTGTGTGGTGTGTAAAGGCTTGAGGGATGGCTGACTGAAAAGAGCAATGTAAGTCCGTCTTGATTCAAGTCTAGTAACGCCTCCACACCTGTTACATGTAAGCCCCCTATATTATGAATCAACCTGAAGCATCAGACAGCCCCAACTACAGCGCTAGAGTTGGGCTGGCCCAATTATGGAATACGTGTTGGTTTAGCTCTTTTGACGTCACCGTCGTGTTTTACCTGCAAGTGGCTACTAAAACTATGGTTGGCCGTCAGTGCAAAAGTAAAAGAATAACTCACCAAGTGTCAAAAATCCCACCAAGCTATCGGAACACCAGATAAAAATACACACACTACTAAACACTTAATGAAAATACAACCCTATTTAAAATTAAAGGGTCAAATGTCCAGTTTGAATAAATTGGAGGTGAAATTGAAAACCAACCAAGAGGTAATATTTCTGCACAGTTTGGTTGCCCATACAAATTGTAAGCAAAATGAAAGTGGTCTATATGCAGTAACCAAAACTCTAAAGAAAACTTTGAAACCTTTGTCAGGTTTCTGTGGCTCATACCTGACAGAATTCATAAAAACATGACCAGTGAAGTACCCTAGTGTGGCAGACCTCAACTTTCCTCAGGCATGCAGCATTGCCAAACCTCTTTTGTTGATTAATTTCAATATGATAGTGTCACTCTTACTTCCGTAATACATAAACCGTTGAACCTTGGTGAACAATTTCATAATTATGAAATTAAATCTGAAATTCCAAAATGGTAGTATCTAGAAATTGAGAACAAATTGATGCTGTTGAATGTTCTCTATTGTGGAACACTTGAATGAATCTCAGAAAATCCAACATCAGCATACAAGTATTTCTAGAAACTTGCTCAATTATGATAGGCCATTATTACCTTCACTCACACACCCAACTAGAAGTTTGAAAGAAAATTATTTTCTTATTCTGGGGCAAAGTTTAGAAGAGTCCACAGTACACGGTATATCAGGCCATAATTGAATTTCATTAGAACTCTGTTACGTAAACTCAGGATTTACAGTGTACGAACAGGAATGTTGAGAGCTTATTGAAATTTATCGTGAAATTTCCAAAGTAAAATATTGCTCTAGCATGGGACAAGAGCTAAAAAATCAAAATAGCCCATTTAGGGTATGCGCCACTTTAAGGCATATAAATGTATGTACATGTACTGGGGATTGTATGTTTGGGGACCCCATTCCTAAAATAGGAAGGGAACCCAACATTTTAAACTTTTTGATTCAGCTACCGGCATGTACATGTATGTACATGTAAGTAGACGACTATGACATCATGATTAATAACTTAGCTGTAGGGTTGATGTTGTGAAACGAGGGTGGGGTTTTGAGGTTTGAGGAAAATTACGAGGAGAAACTGTGTTTAAACACGTGGCACATGATGAACATGGTGAAGTAAACTTTGAATGGCTGGTTGCTCAGTAAGGTCACACTTTTCTCACAATTTACAATTCGAGATTCCATAGGGTTAGTGCAATAAAGAAAGCATTGCCTTTGGTTTTTTGGGGGGGGGACTGACCACTTTCGCAAGATTAAAATGACCAAAAAGTGGGGGGTCCTCAAATGTACACAATCCCCATGTAACACATGGCCCATGTCTACCACACTAGTATTATCACAACCATGTCCGTGACAACTGAACCAAAAATGAAATGTGATCAACGATCAACAAAGACTGTAACACTAAAAACTCTGCCAACAAATATGAAATCAAACACTCCAAAAGTCGAACCAAGACACAAAAAACTCTTATTCAATTATAAGAGAGAAGTGTTGTCACTTACACTTTCCTGTATGGTCGACCTGAGAAAAAATGGCGGTTGTTATTCGCATAAAATACGGTGCTATCCTTCCACAGTACAACCAGGAAGTGAAGTATCAGTGACCTGGACTTGGGCCAGCTCAACCACACAGCGACAATTCGGTCTATATAAAACGCGTCATTTCCGAATACAAGCCCCTTAGGAGTGATCGCTGCGACCGATGGAATACTCCTCCTTTGGCTGGATCGTCTGAAAACTTTATTACTTCTGAAAAATCACCCCGACTAGGAAGGAATGCACATCAAACAGCTCTGATGACAAGCCAACACCTCAACTCACACAAAGTCGGCCTACTCACTAAGGCCAAGTACAAGTGTGAGTAGCTTGTAAAGTGGTCATAGCGCCCTCAACGTTTAAAGAACAGCGAGATTGATCACGATTTTTTTGCACATGTATGGTTCCCCGCCTCCCAAATAAAGGTTACGTCGATCAAATACCGATTGCCCTCCACAGAAATATTCATATTTCAAGGAAAACCTCTTCTCGTGCTCCAGTATGAAACTCAGTATTTCCTCAATAAGTTTTCCAAAATTTCGGTACAGTAGGCTAGCTTTCACAGGACATTTTGGCCCAAGTTCCACCTAAGATGACAAAATTTGATTTCTAACATCAGCGATCACATACACATTACTTTCAGTAGAAAGTACCTTCTTTTTCCACCGAAGGAAATCATTTGACTTCTCCCTGAAACTGTGTATTTTGAGAAAATGTGTATTTGATATTTTGAAACATTTTTTAATTTTTCTATTCCAATGAGAACACCATCTAGACAAACCAAAAATGAAAGAACTAGACCCTTCTCATTGCTTGGAAAAAGATTACAAGAAAAAACGTAGTCCTTAACTATTTTTGAGTAGTATATATAAAAATCACTGTTTCTACCATTTCTAAATGGAAGATCTTCTTCACAAAGATCTGCAAACACATTTAAAGCACAGTCATACCCAAAACGATTCAATGGTATTTACATCTTTTATTCTTAAAAACCATAAGAAGCCACTTGTAAGAATCCTGAAAGTAAATGGGGACATCTAAACCATTACCCGAAAATTAAAAGCAATGATTTGATTTAAAAAATGATTATTATCAACTTGTCCCATGAACTAATGGAAACGTGACTCGAGGAAAATTCCGACTTAGCTGAACAGGTTGATAATCATGGTGAAGAAAAACTAAATGGCGCCCTCTGCCTTATAGACGATCAGTGTTGATGTGAAACTGTCAAGTGGTCATGAGTTTGGTCAGCCTGCTAAAGGCTGAGCTTTGCCAAGCACGTTTATTGAAATTTACAAATAAAAAGACAGAGATCTGATTGTCCATTTGGCGAGCCGTGCCCTGCCAACAGACCTAAAACATGACGTCACGCTTTGTTTTAGCACATGAGCACTTGGATGGATTGCGTCCCACCTCATAGCCATAAGAAAGTGCGCGTGTGAACAAAGCAATTACATGTAACGGTGGAGTGGAGCAGGGATGGGGTGGTGGCCTCGGGGAGGGGTACGGGTAGGGGGAGGTTTAGGCCCGGAAAGTCAATGAACTAAATGGGCGGCGGAAGCTGTTTGATCATCTGTAAGCAATCGTTGAAGAGCTCGGCAAAATCCTCGTGGGTCTTGACGAGGACGCAGCACGTCGAGCGCTTGGCACCCATCGCAGCTCCAAGATCCTGTGACAAAGCAAATGGAAAAGACCAATCTAACTTAAGAACTCCATAAATACCATACCCATGGAGGCAATCAAAATGAGGAAAGGAATGTTTGCTTTCGGACCGGTAAAACTAAAATAAATTTCTGGAGGGGGCGAGGAGTATGACTTCAAAATGAAAGTACGTGTACTGACAATATGGCACACAACTGGAAATTAAGGTTTTGAGCAAGATAAAAAATACTTGATGAACGCAGAGAGTCAGTCTCCATTAATTTTACCTTCTTGGCTGGAACGTAAGCATAAGGAATGTTCCTATCCTCACAGACAGCAGGTAGATGACACATGACCTCTATGGGCGTGACATCCCCAGCAAAGACGACAAACCTGTAGCAAAAACCAGACATCATTCATACCGTTTGTTTACTGCATGGGCTTAGAAAATTGTAATGTACTCAGGGAGCTTTGTGATGCAAAATTTCCAGGAAGGTAAGGAGTCCATCCAGGAGTCAGTCTAGCATGACATCTGCTACAGAAATCATACTTATGCTCACTTCAAACCCTTCTCATAACTTGAGGTTTGCAGCAAGAATGTTACCACCAGGCTACAGCATACCAGTAAGTTGCAGCGATAGTTAAAATGGTCCCAGCTGTAGCGCTGTAGTTGGGTTGGCCCAAGCATAGTCAGCAAATTTCTGCCGAAAATTTCTTGAACCTTGCCACAGTTTTTTCAGCTCGCAATCAACAGAATCCGTCCAAAATACTCCAGCGTGGCATTCCATCCTTAACATAAATAAAACTACTCCTGTTAGCATGAGTTGCCGACCTAAAGGAGGTGACGTAGGCACATGCTGTGGCACACATTGGGTTCTCGATGCTATGGCCGGGACCGGCCCAGCTGCAGCACTATGGTCGGGACTGTCCCAACTATAGATGGGGCCAATGACATCAGTGGGGCCTAGCAAGGACAACGCTGGGTTCATGTGGACTACTTCCCTTGCTTGTCAGTTTTTTCGCGAAACTTGAGTACATGGTGGAAGTAAATTTGTCCGCTGGAGGTTGGCTTACCCTTTTTCTCCCTTTCTGATGAACTTCTGGACTTCTTTCACTCCTCTGCGGAGCGTCTTTGCTTTGGAAGCTGGAAAATGTCAAATTGAACAGACAAGATGAAGGAGGCAACACGGATGCATAGCAATAAAAACATTAAAAAAAGAAGACAGGGTGGAACTTGGAGGAGGGTCGAGAGCCGGGAGATTTCTACTTGTACATGAAAGTGAGTGAAACACTTGACAACGTGAGGTTAATACATGTGATTGTTGAAACTCAAATCGACACCATGCGCAAGTTTAAAATTCCGCAACAATTTTCAGAGTGCAAATATCACTGGCCAATTCATGTTTATGCACATTAGTTGCAATTTGTGCAAAAAAGTAAAAATCACACATTGAGAACCTAGCACAAGTTTTGTTGGGGTGTGGAATTTTCACCATCCTGAAATTTGTGATCAAGTGCTTAAGTGTTCACAAAAAACAATCAATAACAAAGATATGTAATACAAAACTGCTGCTAACTGCTTGTTGACTACAATGACCTAAAAATACAAATCTCAAAATATGGAGGGCCTGACGTTTCGATGGGTCGAAACGTCAGGCCCTCCATATTTTGAAAAATAATAACAGTGAGAACTTTTTGGGCAGGAGAATTATCATTATCATCGATCTAAAGAAGTCTTCATTATGAGCAAACGTTGGAAAAATGTCAAATTGGTCTTGTTGGAAATCAAATAGAAACCTTCCCTTTATTGTTCCATACTCACTGGCCACTTTCAAGTTTGATGACAAGAGCATTTCCAATTTGAAGGGGAAATTTCTCTTTTCTTCCCACATGAGAGTAAACCTTACCATCATTAATGATACTATATCAACAGTAAAAACACCATCAACCTGTGTGAATTGCAGTAGTTAAGCGGTTACAGCATAATGGTTTGTGATGCGTGGGGTGTGGGTCCGGTTCGAATCCCAGGTTGAAATTATGGCAGGGAGGATTTTTTTTTAAGGAAAATAAAGCCCAAATGTTATAGGAGCCTAATTTCACACGTAAAGTTTTTATGGTTGGTTGGGCATCTCGATGTCATGCATTGTGCATGGTTGTGAACCGTGGTTTGGCTTCATACATGTGAATGCATATAATCATTGCAACTATGACCTGCCACTGAGTGCCAGACTAACCTTTCTTGACACTTTTGTAGAGCTTCTTGGTCAACTTTTTTGAGGCAAGAGGGTTAGCGATTGGCGCCACTCGTTGCACCAGATCTTCATAAGTCAGCTCTTGTTCGTTATCTTCAGCTGGCTCAGATTTTTCCGAGTTTTCCTTGTCCTTCTTTGGAGTTTTTCCCATTTTTTTAACTGGACGTATCAAGCAAGTTTCCCACGCGAAGTCATTTACATGTACTGTTTTTGTACATAATACATGTACATGTACTGAACACTGTACATGTACGTATATGTACACGTGCAAATAAATACGTTCAGCACGCATTCGTCTAAACCCTGCACAATGTATTTGTGTGGCCGGACACCCAGACGACTTTTGTCAAACTTTCATAGCGAGCGCACGGTACTTGCATCAGGGTCCCTATCTAAAGAGGGGTAATATTTATTTATTTTTTTCTATAAATAAACAGCTAAATCAATATCAATTTCTTCTTTCAAGAAACTAAAAGTGATTTCCAAATCATTAACATTACTTTTGATTCTGTTTAATTGAAAAGATCCACTTTTCTCCTCCTCCCGAAAGCGTGTCGATCACGTGACTCATGTGAGGGAGCTTATCCTAAATCTCGGCATCATTATCGTCTATAAAGCTGACGAGTAGGTTTAAAGCTTAAACCTTCAGCACTAAGCGAAAATACCTCCGAACATTGCCCTCATTAATACACATTTTGACGACGGTTTTAATAAAAAGGGGCCATACTGAGTTGAAAGATCGTACCTTAGACACGAATTTCTTGAGACTGAAGCCAAAATATAAGACGAAGCCGATATTTGGAAATACCAATGCGCTTCTCCTGAACGGGGTATATATTTCTTAGCTTCGCGTTCTGGAAGTCAGCCAATCATGCAGTGTGTGGGAGAGGAGAGTGTGATTTCTAGATTGCATCTGTCGAGATTTTCTCCCATTTTGTACAGATCAACGCACTTTATCACTTACTAATTAGGCCTCCCTCCAAAGCAGCCCTTTAGCAGGTTTTTTTTTGCAAATCATTACCTGAATGTCTCATCTTTCCCCAGATTTCAGGGGAAAACCGAACTGAATATACATGTAGTATCATACGAGAATTCAATCCTGTGGCAAAGGGGGAGATGCACCTCGAACTCAAGGCCTCTGCCTCCCCCCACACACACTCCGAGAACGAAAACAATTATGGCAATATACTGCCTTGGGCTGTGTTTTAACTGTGACCGAACCCATCGAGTGTCCCTCTCCAGAAAATGAGGACCCCAAGCGTCCCCCCTGCCAAATGCACCCCAGTTACAGCATTGATTCCATCCAAAAGATTTTCAAAGCAAACCCCAAAGTGCATTAAACACAGAACAAATGACTCCAGATACACTGAAACTGGTCTTTGTAAGTTTATTACACAGGTTTCAGTTCACCAGAATGGATTTGTTGGGGGGCTCACATTAAAAAAAACAAAACGAAACGGACAGGGAAAAACTACACAATGTACAGGCAAAACTGCAACAGACGCTTTGAAATTTCTTACTTTGAAGTTCTTTGAACCGTACCCGGGAGACTGTATCTAGATACTTATGACACATCTTGGCTCTTTGATTACATGTACTCCCCATTATGTTACACTTTTAAAATTTTTATACAGTGAAGAAGCAAATACATGTATTTAAGTGAGGCCAAGTTCAATGAAAGTAAAGTAAGCTAGCCACAGGGCAAACTTTGCAGCCTCTGTTTACAGCAAGCAGGTGATGTGGTCCCATCAACCGATTACTGCCTTTGTTCTGAACTTGTTAACCTCTTCTCAAAAACACAGGCAGCCTGGCGTAGCATTTTTACCCATGACTTGCTGAAGCATTTTTCAAATTAAGTTCATGTCCCCACCCCACCCCCAAAAAAATAGCACTGAGTCTACAGTAAATATTTTGTGGCAATTTGCTGCAATAGCCTTCCTCACTGACATCACCTACAAAGCAAGAAATGTGGCCCTGATTCATCCAAACCGGTAAACACTTTTTTAAATCCACAGACATCCCAGCTCAAGCCCCCTTTTTCTGACAGTAAAACCAGACAGACCAGGTAACTCTCAAAAGAAATGTCCAAAACGCGACCCATGGCCAGAGAGCGGAAACGGTGAGCTTTGCTTACACCAACATTCTGTTAAAAATTTAAGCTGGGCATACATCACTTCACCACTTTCCTCGAGGTGGAACTTCGCCTAAGATTTTCTGCAGTGCAAAGGTCAGCACACTGAGGTTCAACGGCACTTGAGATTTCTTTCAATAATGCACACATAATGCAAAAATACAATGCAGAAGTTAATGTGTCATTACGTTGTAGGTAAGTTTATGGTAGTTGAAGAAACTTCCGTGAACACATGTACCCACAGGTGCCACAAGCAGAACTAGAAAGAACCGGAATACCCTGAATACTGGTCAAAATCTCGTAAGTGTTGTAAATGATTAACAGATGAAACATTTGTTTTGCAATATTCAATGACCATTAAGCTCTTGAAACAAAGCCCAAATATGCTTTAACTGTCTAATTTTTCGTAAGCATTAGTGGTTTTTTTTTTCAAATGGAGCCCAGAGCACCACTGGCACTACATGCAGGTTTTTGTGGTTGTACGTTATCGTTTGTTTGCTTGTTTCCTTTAATAACGAAAAATAAAAGCAATGAATAATAATGGCTCGGGAAGATTTCAGCCGGAGAGATCGCTGGCATCAAACTTGGCCTGCGGGTAGGATTCTGCCTTGACCATGTGACCCCCGAACCACCTGCCGTTGAGTGCCTCAATTGCTGCTTCTCCCTCTGGAAAAACAAAAGTACACGACAACACATACATGAGTATCTCCGGTTTTGGAGCAAGAGACTTTATGAACTAGGTCAAAATCTCACGCTGAGTAACTGGTAAACGGGTGGTGATTGGCTTCGGTGCAAAGGTTTCACGGCACTCAGTTGGCTACTTTGGAGGGATGCTAAACGCATCGACAAACTCTACGGTGTACTTGTCTTGGAAGTGACAACTCTTCAGGAACGCTGTAAATCTACGTCCAACTTGCATCCCAGGACTAACGTTTCTGAAAAACATTCACCATGCCGGATTTTGCTGAGCTTGAAAGGTCGGTTTGCAACAACGGAAAAACCTGTCGGTGTGCCTCGGGGCTTGTTTGGTTTTTCTCGAATTCTGGAAGGAGGTTGGCCAGGACTTCTCTCACAGAGCTACTCAGCCTACGGCAGCAGGCAGCTAGAAACCTGCTTCTGCAAGGCAAACGTTTCCTATGCAGGCCAAACTCCTACGCTCGGCAGCTCAATCAATCAACCAAGGTTTTAACGAGTGTTGACTCACCGCTGGGGTCGCTGAACTCCACGAATATCTTCACGATGACCTCGGCATCTTCTTCCTCCCCTTGCCGCTCCTGGTAGATGACCACTCGGTTGACCTGGCCAAACTTGCCGCACTCTTCGGTCACTTCGCCTTCCAAGTCGTCATCCAGGTCCTCCTTGTCCACCATGTTGCGCAGGACGACGACCCGTGACTGAAACAAAGAATTTAAAAGATTGGATATTTTGGTACATGAAACTTCCAATTTGATGGGACACTGTACTGGGCTTGCGCTTCAAGGTGAGAAAAATTTGCTTGATACAAATTTACGTTAAGCATAACTTCGTCAGGACTCATTATTTCGATGCCACATTGGCTGTACCCTATTTTTATATGCAAATATTTATACGATTTGCACAATTTTGTGCTGAAGATTATGACATTGGTCCCTGGCGCTTGATTATAGGTGCCTACGTACCTCGGCCTTCCGCAAAAGCTTCTGCATGACCATGTGCCTGGCGCTGGTGCCCGAGATGGTCATGTTCTCTTGTTCGCTGATGGTCTGTGGCAGCTCGCTCTCCAGTTTCTTCTTGGCGTCCTCAGCTGGCTCGGCCGCGGCCTTAGCAGCTGCCGCAGCTGCTGCCACTGCTTGGCCGGCGGCCGCCACGGCTGCATTGGCCTGCTGGGCCATGGCGGCCATCGGGGCAGTCAGGGTGGGGTTCATCATCAGTGAGGAGGTGGTGACAGTGATTGTGGGGATGGGCGGACGGATAGGAGTCACGCCTGAAAAGATGGAGAGAAAAATAAAGAAACTATCGTAAAATATCATAAAATGCCTTCTCTCGACTAGTTTGTGAGGGTTCTCTTGGTTGAAAATTATGCAAAGTATGCATGTACTGGACACAAATAAGGATTGGCATCACACTTTCGCCTATTACCATTCTGTCTATTCGTCCTATGTTTGAGCATGTGTACAGCTGTGGGTTTTGTGCACATTCCACTGAAAACTTGTGATGGCATTGAATAAAAACCAAGTCAGAATACTACTGCTATTTACACTAAGATCAATTAAAACACATCACATTTTTTGCCAAGTTTGTGAGAACCAAACTTGGCTTGGGCATTAAAGCCCGAAGCTGCATAAAAACTGTCAAAGTAAAGATGAATGCCAATGAATCAGACCAGCACACGTGCACAGAGTATCAAGTCGCCTCATAAAACTCCAGTTCCTCATGTGTGTCGAGTACTTCCAAACAGATTTCAAAACAGCGCTTTGAAAGTCATTCTGGTAAGAGGTATTCGAACAACTGGTTCACACTTTACCTGTGATAATACCCGGCGCATTGGAAGCCATGACAGCCTGGGGCATGTTAAGGAGACCGAGTTGCGGTGCCGTCAGCAGGCCGGCTCCTGGCAGGGCCTGGGACAGCGTGGAGGGGGCAAGATTGAGCACTGCCGCGGCCGCTGCTGCTGCTGGGGCCGCAACAGCATCGAGGGCCTGCGCAAAGGGAGAGATACAGATTAGTCAACAGTAACATATGCTGGTGGGGGGGGCAGGCGGATAATGACAGGGATTTCATAGGCAATCTGGAGTACTCAAACCTATACTGGACAAAACTTGGGGCCAATTTGGGGCAACGTATCCATGCGATACATCGTGGGACTACTGTTCAGGCTATCTTCTGGACTCACAACACTGCACCTTTTTCTCCGTCTTTGGCAATGACAATTTGCTAGAGGTCCCTTGAGCCATTTTAAACCCTGACGTGAATAAAACGCACATGGTTACTCGCTGCAGAGTACAGATTCTCACAAGCGGCCAAGTGGGACCGGTTTGATGACGGTGCAACAGTCGCTGGAAAACAGCACTGCTTCAGTGACGGCTGCCTCTTCAGGAAATGGCAATGGAAAAAACGCCGCGAAAGACGCGTCCTTGTTTGTCTTAAAGTCCAGCGGTCATGAGCGAGATGGGAAACAAAAAGACCCGGTCCCCAAGTTGATTTCTCACCTGGATTTTGGCTGTTGCTGCTGCAGCGGCGACAGCCGCGGCTGGTGGGAGACCACCTTGTGTTGTCGCCGTTGGAATGCTCGCCAGTGGAGGGGTGATCGACTGCATCAGACACAAAAAAAAAACCACTAATCCTTTACCTGAGCAGAGCACGTGGAAATTAATCCACTTGTGTGACAGAAAGTCATTTTTGAAGGAACAAGCGACAGAGAATATCTTTGGCACATTTCATCTCCTGGAGCATTCCCCGTAACTCTAGAGAATGCTTCACACTGCAACATCCAGCACTTCCCAAGCACTAACACGGCAGAGCTTAAAGCAACACCAGGATCTACCCTTATGAAAATCAGTCATATTTTTGGCCCACAGGGGCTGATTAAACTATGGCTTGCTGTCAGTACACAAAGGCAAACAGACGAAGTCACTGAGTGTTAAAAACTCGTCCTCAGCTGGCAACACAGCACATAAACACCATCGCTAAATAATAAATGGGGAATAAAACCATTAAAAAGTGCTGAAGCAAATATACATTTTGGCGCAAAGCTGGGGTGATAGTTCGGCCAATATGAACAGTGGACAATGCGAAGGGGCGTCTACTCAGGATATTGAGGCGGTGAGTGTACTTACTCTACCAACACGGAGATACTGGCCTCCCAGGTCAAACAGGTTCATCGAAGCGATGGCGTCCTGTGCAGACTGCATGGTCTCATACTCGATGAAGGCGTAACCCCTGTTGTGGGCAACCCAAAAAAACACAAGTGCTCAGAGCAGTGCCGATCAGAACACTTCCAACTGAGAGGTGAATGAGAAATTTGGTTACAGCTACCAAGTATTACAAAAAAAAAAACTGTACAGTGGGACTTACTTGTGTTTGTTCGTGGCCGAGTCTAGGGGCAGTGCACAGCTGGTGATCTTTCCAAACGCTTCAAAGACGCTGAAGCAAAAGAGAGGCAGAAAGTGGAGTGGCAGAAATCAACAATTATCAAAACCTGTGACACTTTGTGAAAAAAGGATTCCCCCATGAGAAACACTGCCGTTCTAGCTAGGCAGGTCCTCACCAAGCTTTAAGTTACAATGCATTTTTTTTAGAAATATCAGTAGTTGCATTTAATGGACTGTAGCAAGGTTGGGAACAAAAGTCACTATTAAGCCCTTCACTCCAGATCATGCATTAATATGGAAGACATCTCCTGAGTTGTAAAACAAAGAGAAACTTTTAACTAGTCCGTGGAGGTAAAGTGTGGGAAGCCCTCGGGCGGGCCACAGGCCAGGTCTGAGTTGTGCCTCGAGGCATGAGAAACGATCAAGGCTCTGACTGAAGAGAGCCTACTTCCCAACCTACCTCTTGATGTCTTCTGTGGACAGGTCGCCATGGATGGAGGCGACGTAGATGCGGGGATGGTTCTTGGATTCCTCCATGAGTTGGTCCACCACAGGCTGGGCCTGGGGCATGTTGCTCGGCCGACCGACCTGCGCAGATACCAATTTCATAATTATCATTCCTCGGGAAAACCCACGTTAATATGCCCACCAACCAAATACTAACCTCAATTTGTAACTCCCCCCCCCAAAAAAAAACACAGGTGTATGCAGTGCTTTCATCTGACCTCAAGTTCGCTCAAGTTTCTTCCTTTAGCTCTGGGGTCCACAGTGTGTATAACCCTTCCTCATGGCCTGATTGACTTACATACAATGCAACAATTACTGCAGAGAATCCATGAGTGCCATCTGAAGAGTATTCACTTCTTTAAGTACATTGCAATGTTTGAATATATATAAAAATACTCTGGATACCTGCATAGCCTATTCAAAGCATTACTTTGCTGAACCCTTCACTGTAGCAATGTCATTGAAAGTGAGGAACTAGAAAGGATTCTGACTTGCAGTTTGTGCTCGTAAAGCCTTGTTACTTGCTGACCTAAAAATCATCCTGGAAGTAACATCAGCTATTAAAACGCTTAGGTAAGTAGAATTTTACATATCATTCGGCATTTCCCCCAGCAACTCGGCCTTACCTTGATGTTTCGTCCACCGATCATGACCCCGTTCATTTGGTCCAGGGCCAGCTGAGCCGCCTCGGGCAGGTCGTACTCCACGAAGGCGAAGCCCTTGTGCTTCATGGTGATGGGGTCCCAGGACATGTTGATGCTCTTGATGGGGCCGAAGGGGCTGAAGGCCTGCCGGACGGTGTCCTCCCGCAGCTCGAAGCTGATGGAGCCCACGTAGACGCGGCACATCAGGGCAATGGCCCGCTGGCGCTGGGCGGCCATCTGCAGATTGCTCATTTGCTGAGCGGGAACCAAAACAACACAGTAAATTCGATGCCAACAGAAATACCATTTGACTGATGGCACCACTTAACCCTCCAATGCTGAAGTCACTCTTTGGGTCACTTGGTAAACACCTCAAAGAAGCACAGCTGTGTTNGTTCCATGTAGAAAACGCATGCAAGAGAGTGACCATGGGCACTCGTGCATACTTGTGCTGTAAAACCAAAGGAGGGTTAATACAATGCAGTTCCTGAACTATGTGGATCCCACCCCTTGACAGGAAATAAACATCTTGCTCTAGAATTTCATTTGGATCACTTCAGCCGAACTGTCAAAACATTAGCTAGTCTAGGACAGTGCTTCAACAGTATTGGCTGTCCACTTCAGGTTGCTGGACTGGGATACACTGTTCAAAAACTCAATCTAATGAGCATAATGGATAGGAATTCAGACATCATCAACAATCAACCACAGGGGTGTGAGTGGCCACTTAAAATTAAGGTTGAAAACAGCTAGCAAAAAGCTGAAATGTAAAAGCTCCAATACTTTGGACGGACCAGGTGTACAAAAAAGCTGAAATTCATTGTCAACATCCAAACAAAAAACGCTGAAATCAGCTACAAAGCTGAATTCTCACAGCGCTGTAACCATCACAATTCCTTCCTTGCTGGAAAAGGGCATTTTTTTTCCCATAGCAGTGCCTCTTCTTTGGTGGGAGCTTACCACATGCGCTCAGATTTATGCGCACTTTTCAGGGGGCCGTACGGCGCTTGTGTGAGTGTTCTAAGAGCACCCACAAGCCTGGTCGAAAAGCTTCCAACCATCTCTTCTTCGTTAGCAAACGCGCTTCAACTCAGGGCGGATAGTTGACCCATTTTGTCACTCAAGGTTTACCACTATGGAGCACAAGGTGTTCTTTTGCTGAATGTAAGCCACTGTTTGTTTAAACCAATCCAGCCCCAAAAAGGGAAAGGGCCCTTGGAGGGAGGGGAGGGATCAGGCCAAACGAAATGTAGGCGGGATCTCACCTGTTGCTGGTGGGCCAGGGTCTGCTTGACCAGCACGCTCTTGATGTTCTGCTCCATGGCGTACTTCTTGGCCCGGTTCAGCGCCTCCTGCTGCTCGGGGGTGAGCCTGGGCATGCCTCCAGCCAGCAGGCCCATCTCCTTCTTGGCTCCCGGCCCGGCCAGCACGGGCCCCATCTGCTCCGCCATCACCATGGGGGAAGGGCTACGGGTCACTGCGGAGAAGTCAAGGTGGTGACAGAGAACAGGTGGTGTTAGAGAAGACCTCAGAGTGGTTGGTTTTTTCTTCTACGCCTAGGTCCTAAATACAGATTTGGCACACCTGGAAAAATCTCACCCATGCGACTCTTCCATAAAATTTAGTTGCAAGATGTAGGTAAAAAACATTGTTATAAAAAAATATTGTTCAAATGGCTTAGGTATCTTTTGAACAGCTGCAGGAAAGTTAGTTAATTTCTTCTCTACTTTCATCTCAAAAAAATCCACAAACCGACTGAGTGTACTTTGTTCAGCCAATTCTGACAAGCTTTACATTATGCCCAAAATTCTCGATAAAATTGTGGAAAGGAAATACACATAGTGATACACAAAACCTGTCTATGCATTCAGACTGATAGGACAAGTTTGTGAATGGTAAGAATGCATACGATGAGGCCAAGTACAGCCTTGTCGTTGGTAGAGCTGTTGCCGGTTAAGAAAAAACAAAAGGGGCGATAAGCCCAACAGTTGCAGAGCCAGACATCGAGGGGGCTAACATGTACAGAACAACTACTATAATGCTGTTTACCACAGTCGCTGTCTTATAGGTTGGCGGTGTTGCCATGGTAACAATTGCCATGGCGACCTCTAGCCACACTAGGCCAGGCGGTAAACTACAGTACATGGAGCAGAGCTGTTTGTGAGAGTGTGTGTGTGGGTCTCAGCGTAAACTGAAATCTTCAAAATACACAAAAATGCAGAGACAAAAAAAGAGAGAGAAAAGGAAAAAAAATGAGAGGGGGAAGATAACAAGGGGGAAAAAGGGAGAAAAATGGTAGAGTTAGTCGGCAGAGCATGGCTTGGGGTCCTACACGAGGCATACATCTGTAATTTCTTGTATCCAACGGGCCAGACAAGTTACTTCATGGGGGGCACCAGAACATGGTTATGAGTGTCTGTATCTGACGTGACGCACATGGCAAACTAATTTCAGACACATCGGCAACATCAAGTGACTTAACAAAAATAACATGTGTACAAATGTATTAACTGGTCGGGCCTTTCCAAAAATTGAATCCTGGCAATGTTTAACGTGCCTTGAAGTTGCAAGGCAACCTTCAGTTTTACAACTAACCTACGGACACATGTTCATTCGTTCTCCCTGTCAATTGTAAAAAGCAATGACAGTCTGCATGTATCGGACAAGGATTGGGACAGGTCAAATTATGGGGGTTTTTTGTGTGCTTTAAAGGCAAAATGATAGATGCCAATCATGAAATCTAGAGATTACCCGCTTCTTAAGAACTGCTCCCAATTAGAGGATGCACAATCGTGCAACAATACCTGCTTGTTTGTGAACTGTGCCACCGCAAATATGCATTAATCGTTCAAAACAAGATTGGCTGCCTTCAGTACAAAATGCAAAGTCTTTCATTAAACCCAGGGTGTTTAGAACCCAAGAGACTCTTTACTTTCAGCACTCAAGAACAAGAGCACTTGGTTCATACTCAATCAAGTCCAGCTTTTCTGTCAGAACCATAGTACAATTTCCATGGTACGCGATGAAATAAGCATACGTTATTAACAGTAACTACACTAAATTGGCTAGCACTTCGTCCGTCGTGTGTGCAACCCTATAAGACAAATTAGAGTAACACAGTTCATAGCCTTTAAGCGAAAGCCTGCCCACACTTTGACTTGCTCCTGTTAAGACTTGCAGATTGACTCAGCCTGTTGAGTTTTACAGACATTCCCCCTTCGGTAAAAAAAAAATCGGCACATTCTTATTCACAAGTGGTGCCATGTCAATGGTTCGAACACTTCTGACGCACATTCCTCAAATGCAGAGATGCAGCCACGACCATCACAAGTCCTTGTCAGCTGTCACAAGTCCAACCACATGGCCTTTTGGCATGTAAACAGGACGAATGACAATAAAAGGAATGCATCTGTCACAGTTCACTTGAATAGCTTGCTGCTTGGCCTCAGGGAGGACGACTTTTGATGGACTGGCAGGGCCTTGTGAAGGGTTGTGATGGCCATGGCTGCCATGCTGCTGATATGGGAGGATGCGTCTAGCAGGGAGGGGGGGGACAGCCCAAACGTTACTTGGAGCTAAGCGTTTGTGTTAATCGGAAAAGCTAGGAATACAGGCAGCTGTATGGTTTGGATTTGATAACGAGGCTCCGCTGGCCGCAATCAGAGCAAACCACTTCTGGTTTGGGGGATGTCTTCACGGTCCCTGGTCGTGATCTCATGAATGCACAAAGGAGAGAACAAAAAAAAGACAGAGAGAGAGACACGCATTACACCGAATCATGGAATCACACAGAATTGCTGAGAACAGTGCTCAACATTTGCTAATGCCCGAGAACCACTTTTGTCCGTCACACAGAACTCCACTTATTAAGTTATCAAGTTTTCAAATTTTCGAACAGTTCACACTGATAGATATAAATAAATGTTTCGAGGGGATGAAATACAAGTTCAAAAAGAAATTACTGATCTTCCTAATCGGAATCTCGTCTCTTTTTGCGTTTCTTTCATCGGATCTATCTCATCAGAATATAGGTCAACAAAATAATTCCTACGATTGCTGAAGCGTTTGCTTGTGTACATGAACAATAACAAATGCGGCATGCAGCTCTGTGCTTTCAAAGGCAATGTCAACCTCTTGAGAGGTTTTTCTCTAATTAGGACCTGTTTAGGGACCTGAATGACCTGTCAAGGAAAAATAAAAATAAAAACGACTGAGTAAAAAAATGAAGACCGGCAGTGGGAGGTGACTGTTCACTGTTGTTCGAGGGCTGATGATGGGTCCAATCAATGGCTAATGACGAGTCTGCAAAGAAGTAAGGGGTGAGAAATACATGGCGTGGGAATGGAAGGACAAATGTAGGCATACAGAGATCAGGGCCGGCCTATAGTGGAGCAGATTTTGCCCGAGTGGTATTTGTTGCCAATATGCTGCAAATGTTTATTTGACGTTAATTTGAAGGCCTGTGATCCATCTCATGGAATACCTCTACAAATCAAGGCCAAATATATCTGGGTTGAGTTCATACACAAGTATGAAGATTAAAGTATCCTCGTGGCTTCCGATGTACACATTCAAATCTGGGTTACCCTTGTGTACATGTACTTTTGTTTTTTTGGTTTTGTTTCTCTTAGTGATGGTTTTCATTTTCTATTTTTTTTGGGGGGGGGAGAGTAGGAGAGATATAATTTCCTTCTCTTTTTAGACAGCATACAAATTTAGATCACAATAAAAACAAGTCCAGAGATCCCAGGATCTGAACTTCAAGCCTATGACTGGGAACTAAATGCACAAGTTATTTCCTCCCCTACGCAACACTCTGAAACAAACCCAAGCACAATCCAATGGGTGTCGCTGAGGCTGAGCGTTCAGTTTGCGCTGCGGTTCTGAAAAAGGAAAAGTACAAAAACCACAGGTTTTTCCCCCCGAGACAAAATGGAGGAACAATCCGAAAATCAAGACACAAGAACAGAGAGCTGAGAAGTGACTCGCTAACCTTTCTTTTACCTTCAGAAATCTGGGTTTTATCAAGAGATTGCTTGAAAACCCTACCCCATGCAATGTGCTTCATGCAAGGGACAGCAACGGCATCCCACTACATGTATACGGTTAAACCTTTTTCTCTTAAGATTGCGCACTTTTTGTCCAAACAACGCAGAGAACATTTAAAATTTAAATCATGATTTTGTTTTTGGAAACAATGGTATTAGTTTTGTTCCATTATGTTGTAATTTTTCCCCTTTCTGTGAAACTGAAAAAAAAAAATTTCAATCTCCACAATGCAACACCAACTACAGATCTCTAGCACACAATACTCTCTCCAAATCAAAGGTACCAGATTAGAATGTGTGGGTCAGTAACATGTCCCCCGTATTCTTGCCGCGCTAGGCAGGGCCAAAGCTAAGTTTGCCGATTTGCTCCTCTCTGCAAAAAGAAGAAACTCAGAACACAAACAAAAAACCAAAAGAGAAAAAGGAACTGTAAAAACTGTCGGTTCGGATTACGGGAAAATGTGGAAGCTGTAATACAAAAAAGTTTGTTAGGAAAAGTCTGAGTTAACATACACAAGTTTGTAGTACATGGTAACATTTATAATTCTTATTTTGAGTATTCCATTTCAAAGTTCACACCCTTTGTTTACAGTATACCCTCACTTTTATTGTTAAAATTTGTCACAATTGTTTTCATCCCCTACTTTAAGCAACAAAGTCAGCAATACCGGGCTTTCCTCAGAGCAGAACTTGCACAATTGTCAAAAAGCCTGAATTCAAATATGCATTGTCGAGCAGAGAGGCCAAGTGTCCAGGGCAAGACACGGGTCTATCCCTACAAAAGGCTTCTGCATGCCATTCAGAAAGAGTACCTGAAAACTATTAGGGGAGCTGTTATGGTTTTGTCACGGATGCGTATCAACAATCTCTTGACAGTACACAGGGTTTTTTTCCCCCCCCCAAACAAAAAATCCCACAAAATGTTTAATTGCGGACTCTAAAAATGGAAACACGGCTTTCCAACTTGACCATTCCACGAAAAATCCAACAAAATGAGACACACCGCTTTGCAATTTTTGATGGACTCACAAATGTCCAGTCTCAGTGCTGCCACTTATTGACGTTGCAATTTTTGTCTCACTTTGAGGAAAAAAACAAGCTAAAGGGTTACCCCTCCCCCGCCTTTTTTCGTGAGGGGGGGAAGGTTTTCCAATTTTTCCAACAATGGAACCGAAGCTACAGGAAATCATAATATGCACCCAAGCGCTGACATTGTGCAAGTTGAGCAAGTTGGGAAGGCCCTTGGACATTTGGATCCTACCTTCAGGGATTGTGGCACTGGCCGCTCCAGCTTCTACTTTGATCTTCTTGGGTGAGGGCTCACCTGTCCCCACATTCTATGCAAAGGGAGATAAGTAACCATAGTCTCACTTTCAGTTAGCTTTTTTTACCCCTCCCTGATGATGCAAAGCCCTTCCTTTCCGAATATACTGATAAAAGTATCTGGGACTAATTGGATTAAGTTGACCACATTTTGTGTTTTCATTGAAGACAAGTCCATAAGCCTTATCGCAAATACCGCATGGGTGATTTTGCACAATGGGAGAAAGGCACTGTGGCAGGGTTTTCAAGAGAAGTTTTCAAATGCTCCCTACTGCATCACAAATAACATCATTGGAAACGCTGCTTCAAATGGAGGATTTCAGACTTTGTTTGAAGAAAATCAGACTTTCCATTCTGAAGATTTTTTAATATAATTCATGACATATTATTTCAAGTGAATACATGTTGTGAATACTTCATTAGTATGGTAAAATGTGGGCATACTACATGTACAATCACCAACAACCAGCTGAACTTCGTAATGGTACATGCAATTTGAAATTCACGCCCCCCCTTTCCAAAGAAAAGTTGTTACCATGGATGGCAGAATTTGATGATGCCGCTCAGAACACGCCATTTTAAAATGGGTGTAGGCACAACTTTCGTTTAAAAAATCACTTAAACTCAAAAAGAAAATTAAAGAATAAATATTACTTGCAAAATTAAAAGCCAAATGAACAGAAAATACAAGACTGATGTGATGAAATATATCACTTAAATGTTCTTTTGTCCCCATTTTGGCAAACCTTGACCGATTTTTTGTTTGACCCCTCTAAATGTGGGCTATTAACCCCCCTTTCATGCCCTGTATTTTCACAATGGTACGACCTTCGCAACCCTACATCCGCTTAGGCAAAGGCGAGCCGTGCGGAACTTGTCTTGATAAAAACCGGGGCCAATCGCCCACGTGCGTGGAGACCCAAAATTTCCTGACTTTTTCGCCTTTTCTTACTCCATAACTCTTATAACTCAATATTATGCAGACTCCATAAAGACTAATGAAAGCCATGTTTGATTCAATATTTCGTTCTTTATTCAGAAGAAGATTCCTGAAGATGTTCTGAATAAAGAACGAAATATTGAATCAAACATGGCTTTCATAACTCTTATGTTGATTGTATTAAATTAGAACTTTCAGGGATGAGATACTCAGTAAAAATATGTAAGATATATACTGTATTGTATGTTTGAGATCAATTTTTGTAAATACCCTGTCAAGAAGTGCCAAACGCAAGTCGTCCGAACAAATTTGTAACATCACTGAAATGCCTGATTGTGGGAAGAAAAAGGGATAATATTTGCTCCTTTTTCCCTAACACAATGCCTTTCTACTACCATTGTAAAAAATCACCTATGCAGTATAAGCAAGACTTATTAAGCTTGAAAAAACACAGAACATGCAGACACTGTCTCATGAAAAGTTGTTCGGGGAAGAATGTGGCATCCGGCTACCCCCAGAGCTGTGGGAACGGAGCGGACGTTGGACCCCACAGTTCTGGGGGTAGCATCCAGTCTCAACTTTTTATCAGTTTTGAGTTAGGCCCTATGCTTTCAGTCAGTCATTGAGATTCAAACGCCAAAAGCTTGGACTGAAAATTATTTCAAAATCTAATTTTCTTAGAAAATACTTGAAATGCACTACACTCTCCTCAGGCTTTGTACAAAACCAACAAAGCAAAGTAAGGATGCAGCAGTCTTTCCAAGCCTCACTTCAATGCAAAGGCCAAATTAAGCGCCAGCTGAATTCTGAACTAGTGTAGTAATCCCAATGGCAATGCATACCGTGCAATGATGCACGCACAAACCACAATGCACCATCAACAAAGGTCAACAAAATCATAAAAATGGCCGCTGCTCGGCCAGCGTAGCATATCTGAAAAGCCAGCTTAATGGTATTTCCTTCGATTCACTGGATAGAATACTTCACTGGTTGAATGAAACGCGACAAGTATATATTTACCTCTTTAAAATCACCATTTGCAGCAGCTTCTAAGAGTTCCATCGCACTTGCCATCATGGTTTTTGAAGGGCAACAATCCTTTCCAAGTCGGACATACGGCGTCGTCCTCTTAATTATGCACGTAAGTACGCTGGAACCCCCTGGTTGCCGTTTATTACATTACGTGCAATTTGCGGTATGCGCCGGGCACCAGTCATTTTGAGAAGCCGCAGCATGGCAATGTAAAAATAACCCCAAACAGCGACGGGGATCCAGATTAAAATACCCCGATCGGTGATCCTATGGAGAAGGGACAATAGTTACCCTGCGGGTAGTGTCCTGAGATGGGGGCCCACACCGAAACGACAACACTCTTTAAACAAGACAGGAAGTACAGAGAAACATAAATATGCACAACAGTATGATGTACTGTATTCTTTTTACATGTTTATTACCAAAAAAAAAATCTGTTTACACATTTAGCATGATACAAACAACTAATAAGATGAAAACACTGCCAGAGAAAAGCATGATTCAGCCAAGTGCTTCCATAACCTATTTTTATTTTGATTGTTCTAACCCAAGGTTCGATGACAACCCCCAAAACCTGCAATGAAGCACTTCAGATTTACCAAACAGAAAAAAAATAGACTTGAGGAAATAAGCAACCAAACATCCAGGGAACCCCCCAAAATGGCCAAATATTAATATCAAATTGAACAGAACAAAAAGTTGGTAACCAAAGTATATCCCACAAAACAAAAACCTGTCAACGTCACCCAATGCTTTCATAAAAAAAAAATTATCTTTGGATATTTATGTCTATTTTTCAAGCCACAAAAGGCTGAAATCCTTCCTCTTTTTATAACAATTCTTTACATTATTTACAATCATGCATTCCAAGATTGTTTCCAGTAATTTTATTTTTTAATTCAATTTGATGACAAATTGAGATCACTTATTTCAACCACATACTGCCTACATTGTGTCTGGCAACACGGCTTCGATTGCAGTCCTAATATTCAGAATGGCTAAATTTGTATTACTCCATTTCATGGACTTCCATCTAATATACACAGCCCTCATTGGTACCTCGGGGGGGGGAGGTCCAATGGCAGCTTCCCCCACCCCATCCCCTTTGTGTGTGTGTGTGGCGGGGGGAGGGGGGTTTAATGTTGAAAAATAAAGAGAGGCAATCTCCCCTTGGTAGTCCTATGCCAAAATTTCTCTCTCAACCCTTATCTTCCTAATTTAGTGCAAAAGTTTGTACATCCCAATGAGCTCTGGCTTAATTACTAGTAAAAACCACAGTTTGGTTGGTAAATATAAACGATTTTTAAGAAAGCATATTCTTCACCTTCATCAAAGTAAACCCGTCTCTTGTAAATACCAAGTTGTTGCTGTTTCACCTTGATCTGTGCGCTGTCTCGAGATAACTTCACTTTTAATAACCCTCACTCCCTTTGCAGTTTCTGATCTTTCTTACTCTTTTAACAGTTGACACTCTGCAGAAGTGAACTGCCAAAGTTCAAGTGAACAACTGTGAAGTCTACCAAAAAATACTTCAAAATACAGGAAAGGATTTGAACAGATTTGCAGTGGCATGGGCAAAGCCCCTCTGCCATTTGTCAGCCATATTAATTCCAAGACGACATTAAATGAGAGAGATTAGGTGGTTTCACCAACGACGACAACTACATGTAGCAACCTCCCCCCCTTGTACCAACAATAAATTTCCCATCCGTCCCCCCACCCCAAGCAAAACATCCTAGATCCACTCCTGAAGACTGAGAGTAATTAACAAGTGCAATAGAGTCGCCCAAGCTTCACTGCCCACATTTACCGCTCTCCACCATTTCCCTTTTCTCACAGAAAAACTGCATCAAAGCACCTCTCCAGCATTAAACTTTTACACCATACCAAATTAATGACTTATTTCAAATTTTTAGCCTCTACACTGAACCAAAACAACACTTCCTTGTAAACCCGACATTGTTGACGGTCGAAACAATGGAAAAATTGAGGAACACGACCTGTGAAGCTCAAGGCGCATCTACAAACAAACATTTTTGCAGGAGGGCGGGGGGGCAGAGTTGTAGATCTTCAGTCACGAGTCAGTCCACAAGTCAACTCACAAGTCAGGGTGGAACAAAAGAGATGAACAATAACAAAGGAATGCCTCTGTCACAGTTCATTTGAATAGCTTTCGAGATGACTTGTGGCTGAATGACTTGTGACTGACTTGTGGTAACTTGCAGTGACTTGTGACTGACTCGATTACAACTCTGGTTGGGGGGGGTGTGGACTTGTTTTAAGGGGGTAACCTTTCATTGTCTTTCTGAGGATTGAGGACACATACTTTCAATGAAGAATGACATCAAAAACTTTTAATAACTGAATTTGCTGGCCTTTCCGGTGGTTGTGCTTACGCCTTGAGGAAAAAAATCCAAGACAGAGACAACTCAATCATTAGAGAATTATTGCAGTGAAAAAGAAGATGCTGATTAGTTCCAGGTGCCAACACTCATGGGGAACATGACTTGGGCAAAAGTGTTGGGAATGAGATTTCTAGCAGAAAAGGTCGACGACTGTTGGGAGATCACAGAATGAGACAAATATGAGAACAGTTGTAAAATTTACTTGACGAAGTAAAATTCAGGCTTCCTTCATTAATTGCATGCATTTAGTGCATTCTTTTAACTTTAATTCCCCAATTGGAAAAATATATTTCATGAAAAAAAAACAACAGTTCTGCAAATTAGGCAAATTTTGCACACTACATTTTGAAAAAGTGAGAGATCCATCAAGTAAGATATCTGAAACTAAAACCCTTCCACAACTTGTTCTCTTGAACTGACAGAAAAATTGGATTCAATGCCAAATTAGGCTGGGAGTGTATAACAAAAAAGTGCCGATCCTGCTACATTAGTTATGAATAAATTCCATTTGGTTCGGAGTTGTATGGAAAGGTGGGTGCCCAGAAGATCTTGCCAATCGCGAGAGCTTCCCTACTGCTCTAAAGACATTAAGTTTGAAGATGCCCCATCGGCAGTCATGAAAAGACTGGCACCAAGTCAAAAAAGAGACTTCTTAGACATTGACTAAGTTGTTCATGAGGTTGCAGATATGTCCACAGCTTTGCAGCTGCTGAACGCCGACCACAATCTACTCTGTACAGTTTATGTTACAAAACTCAGGACGCAGGGCTAGCTCATCATGTCGGCGCTGTTCAGCGAGGATACCACTGAGGAAGAGTTGTTTGTGGTCTTGAGGGAGTCGTTGACGTCACGACGGAACACCGACAGGTTCTGAGTAAATCTGAAAAATGAAATGACAGAAACATCACAGACTGGAAAGCAACAAGTGGAATCTCTCTCTAAAGTCACAGTGCACACACATACATGGAGATGTAGTTCTGATGAGAGATCGAAACCGGAAACGGTCAGCAGCAGGCTGAGAGGCCTCAGTGATGGTTAGTCCAGTAATCATTTTGATGTCCTCAAGCCAGATTGCTGCAGGTCTTCCGCTCAACCATTCCTTGGATGGTTGGTTTCTGACGGCAGTGGTGTCTGGTGGCATGGCCAAAGTACGTCAATTTTTCTGACCGCAATAGCAAGCCGAAGTGGATTATGCAGCAGTAATGGGTTGGTTCATTTTTGCTTAGCCAAAAACCAACTAATTTTTGCTCAGCAAATATTTTCAACGCTTGATACATTTCTGTCACTGGCAACTCTACCAAAGCAGACACACTGACTGTTTTTTGCTTTGTTTGGCTTTACCTGTCTCTGTTCTTCGATCTGAGGTTTGCTTCGATGCCATCCATGAGGTTCTTGAAGCACAACCGCATGTCTTCTTGCTTCTCGACAGGCTGCGAGCTGATGATGCTCTCTCTGAGCTCCGTGAAATACTACGAGCGGAACAAAAACAAACAATTTTTTTTTTAATTGCTTTCACTGGATGAACGTAGAGTGAGACATTCAAAGACAATTTCAAGAACGAGACACGATTTTGTGTCTAAGGACAAGAAATGTTACCAAAGAGTGGTTTTTTCCCCCTCAGAATGAGACAAGTTACGATGCCCAGACCAAATTCTTCAAAATGTGTTTCTGTTTGGTGGAGGGTCTAAATTTTAGGGTTTTCTTCCAAGATTACTCTCTCCGTAAATTCCTGTCCCAGTTGTTTTCGTTTTAGTTCAGAATCAGTTAAACAAGAACAAAAGACTCTTGATTTTAATTCACATTCACTAGTAAGCAGGTCGTGAGTTCAAGTCGCACTCCAGTTAGCTCCTGAATTTTTTCATAACCTTTTGGACAAGCGCTGAGTATACAGTGTTTTTGAATATAAGTCGGTGTAAGGGCAAATCCTATGATTAATATCGACATCTCCCTGACACAAAGCACATCTTGAAAAAACTCACATCTTCATTAAGCAAAATTAGGCCCAGAAGTGGTCTTGACATTGACCACTGGTTGCGACAATCCTCAAACATGATAATATTCAGCACAGTCGATAGCATCTGCAAATAAGAATCCAATAATAATGACAATAATAACTTACTCATTTCTAAAGTGCAAATTTCAAACAGATATGTTCAAATGCACTGTACAATGAAGACTTTAAACATGGTCGAGCGAATGGCATACGAGGGCACCTCTGGCAACCACCAATCGAACCGGGCTGCAGCGGTGAAAGACGAGGAAAGAACTACTTTGCCAACCCAACTCCCCAATTCAAGATGAAGCGCCAGGAGAAGGTAGGTCAATGTACCTGTAGTCACATGGATGCCAGGCCATCCTTTGGACAGATTTGGGTGGAAGATTTTGGGGGCATGGGTAAAAATCACACATCCAGACAGAAATTGCTAAAGTGAGTGAAGCCTGAACCAGCCTTTGGACTGGTCAACACGAAAAACCTCCATCGTCCAATCAGTGACCAGAGGCTAGATTGACCAATGATTAAAATAGCTGAAAAAAAAGCTGAAATAGCATAAGGAAGCTGAAATGGGGGAATCTCCTATACTTTTGTGCATAGCCAGTGAGGAAATAAAAGCTGAAATCCAAAACCAAAACAGTTGAAACCAGCTAAAAATCTGAGAAATCTCACCCTTGAGTGACACTGATCAAATGCTGGGGTCAAGACTTATCAAACTACAAACTAGTAGATGTCACCATTAAACCTGTAGACATGCAAGTCATGCTGATCGGGGTGCAATTGAATGGACGAAAGCAACACAAAGACATCAAACCATTTAAGGGCCGGATTAAAGCTGGAATAACGTTTGCCACAGGCTACGAGACAAAGCAGCAACGTATTTAGTGCAGAGAATTCCAACTTGAAACAGCACTAAGAAGAGAGCATCAGTATGCCATTCACATTTACCCAATCCCCCCAAAACGCCTTCTCTTGAATCGCATTCTTCGCTTTGCGAATATGTCTCTGGCACAGATCGGAGATCCCACAATTCTGGTTTTCGTGACCAAAAATCTCGACAAAACATCTGTCTCTGTTTGCACCTGTTGAAGTATTGCTGCTGGCACCACCATGATAGTTGGAAAGTTGTCCTTCTCCTTCTTGGCCTTCTTGCTGGCTGATTTCGATATCCTCTTGAAGAGGTACGTCACAATGGAGTCGAGGGTAGCACAGCAGCCTGTACACACCACCGTGTCTGCGGCAAAGGGAGAAAACGAACCCATCTTACCCACACTATCCTGTCAATTGTCTTAAACAGCCGCTCGCTTGTAGTTATGGCTATAATTGAAATCCTGTCCAAGATGTCACCTCGACAAATTATAAAACATGAACTAGGTGCCAAATTTATTGGAACTCATCTGGACATTTTTACAATTTGATTTTTCACTCTGCTTCTCAATCCAAGCGATGAACCAAAATTTTCCACGCAATTTCATTTGTTCACTTGGTGTGCCAAGAAAATGGTCTGTCCTGTTTTTTCGCAACGCACCTCGTTACTAGACAAAGTCCCACAACGGAACTGTTCGCATCTGAGTTGAAAAAACGCAAAGTGAAAGGTCAACAGAACAATGGCTCATGGACTGTTTTTCTGACCCTACACCTGAGTCGGATGTTAAGCGCTGTTGGGACTTATCCCTCGTGTTCTACATTGCCAACCTACCTAAGGCTGTCAAGCCTTCCGATATCGAGGACAGAATGTGTAGAAATACTTGGGGCTCCAGACCGCTCAGGAAACCCATGTGGTCCTTGGCTAGGCTTTCCAGTAGACTGTAGTAGTTCAAGCTTAGCTTGGGGTAATCCTGTCGGCAAAAATGTGGGAACATAGCTGTGTGGCAATTTAGATTTTCCCAAATTCCCAATGGCAATCTTGCTGGGGACATCTCCTCCAAATCCTCAACGAAACCAACGTTGCAGTGTTTGCGCTTGATCGTCCCAGGAGCACAAAATCTGCTAACAACTCGCTGTTCAAGGGGAGTGGTTACTCATAAGCTCTCGTTCTATTTTCATCCGCTGCCAAGGGAATATGCTAAAAAGTCTTCATACACAATAACGTACCCAATACAATTATCACAAAATCTTATTCAGAACTTTTGAAGGTACATTTAAGAACCTCTGTGCTATTTCCATTAAGGGTCACGACCCCTACCCATAATGCCACACTCTTGATTTTAGAGCCCCTAGCTTACCAGCAAATCACTGAGGGGTATCGACAGTAGTAACTTGACAAACATCTGCAGGACCTCCTCCAGGGAGGTGTCCCCATAGAGCTGGAACACGCCGAAGTTGACGTAGCTGCCGGACAGGACCGCCTTCAGCATCCCGAAGCAGATGGACACGCCCTTCAGCGTGAGGGGCCAAAGGTCAAGGAAGTTCTGTCCATGACAGGCCATAAGGCTGCAAAGTTGCAAGATTACTTGTGGAGCAAACTTCTTTCTGGGAATCTGCGACACGTCATGTATCTCTCACACTTTTTTGACCGGTAACCCAGCAATTAGCAAAGTTCTGTTAAAACCAGGAACTCAGGTAGTTGTTTTCAGTTTGTTCAGTGATGCATGCTACATAACGCTTCGTATGAAATTCTAATTTCAAACTGCTGTATCATTTCCAACTTCCACAGTTTGCATTACAAATCTAAGTCAACAGTATGCGAACAACAAAATTCCTATGAAAAAAAAACAGGGAAAACATGTCTCCGAGCAACAAAAGGATATTTCATGGGGTAAACTTGGTCCTTGGGAATGTCGGCTCCTAACGTCAAGATTCTCGATCCTGCGAAGCAAACAACATGTGAAAACTCCTGGTCACTTGGGTTCCGAAAATCCAAACTCTATCTGAGTTATTGAACGAAACCTGAGGAGTAATTTCAGGGGGTAAGGTGAAAAACTCGGACTCACCATATGCCACAAACATCTTGCTGATCTCCCTAAAGAGAAGGATGCCATTCGGCGAGGAGACGTGAAAATGCAACCGCTCCGATCGGTCCTGGACCAGCTCCATCATCAGTTTTAGGATGGGTGTGGTCACCATGGGCTCGTGGTACCACAGCTCGATGGCTCGCTGGAGTATAGGGGTGTAGTCGGGGTATCTGACGGAAGGAGGGGGGTGTTGGCTAAGGAAAAGGATCACCTCAACGCTGTGAGTTCAGCTCAAGTTTTTGTCCAGCTAAATCAGACATGGAACAACACTGCTGGTGCAAAAGTTTGAAAACGGTCCATTACTGTGACCGTTGTGAGGCTGGAAATCAGCCATATCCAGACGCATACCCTTATGACTGTCAGGAGCCATTTTTGTCTTGTGCCTCAAGGATCCAATGGAGATTTAATTGAAAAGGCTCTGCATAATGAAAGCACCAGTCTTTCTGCAGCGTTGACCAGAGTTTATTTTAAATTAAAACAGCCAATAAAAATAATCACTGGGGCCACTGAAAAACACAGTTCGTTTCTCATCATCTTCATGTCAGAAAATGTGAGTACAAATCAGGGCCCCCCCTAAAAAAGCCAAGAACCTTCCATGATTTCTTGTGTACCACCCTCTCAGATGATTCTAGGAGGAAAACTCAGCAGCCTTTCTATTAATGTTTTCCCATAAAGGATACATCCATTCGAACAGCATAAGGTAGCTGGGCTTGTTATTGAAGGCAAATGCAATTCCTCGGAGATCCCTGGCTAACCCAATTAATGTCCTCTGTGAATGGACAGAAAAGTAACTGAAAGTTAGTCGTGTCCCCGAAGAGGGAGAAGATGGGGCTTTCTATGGGGGGGGACGTGTAGATATTTGGATGACTACAACTGAAATCGATGAATGCTCATACTTTTGTCTCAGCCTCGTTCCAAACTCCGCCCTTGTTGGCGTTGGCCAGCTGCGCGCCCACGAATGCAAACGCCGAGGTGATGGGCACCATGAAGTTCTCAAAGCGGTCCTCGTCCTCCCCGAGATCCACCATGAGCAAGCGGCCCAGCGCCGTGTAGAACGTCGTCCGGCAGCGCATGTCGCTGACTGAGAACGTGCCGTTGATGCCCAAGAAGGGGAAGTGATCGCTCTGAAGTGTATCGTGTGGGAAATGAAGAAAATCGAGCAAAATGAAGCAGGCAGCATAATTTTAAGACCTTAGGGCAAGCAATCCAACTACCCTGCAGAGTCATTACAGGCTATCGTTAGTAATCTGTAATCATCACAAGTTGTCATAGGTCATCACAAGTCATCATAAAACATCACAAGTAATCACAGATTGTCATAACACATCATAAACCACTGATAGTCACAAGTCATCATAAAACACCACAAGTAATCACAGATCGTCATAACACATCATAAACCACTGATATCATCAGTGGTTTATCACAAATCATTAAAACACATCATAAATCGCTGATATTCAGATGTCATCATAAAATGTCATAAATCATCACAAGTAATTACTAACCATTGTAAGCCGATCACTAGTCAATCACAAGTCAAAAGGAAGACTTTCAAATCAATACTAACGAAATAAAACCGCTTACCGTGTGGTTGCTCAGCATGAACTGGACCGCCTCCAGCTTCACAAGTTTGCGCACACTGCTGTAGCCCACGGAGAGCTCACTAAGGAACTTCAGGGTCTTGGCAATGATTGGCTCGCTCTGACCCCAGTATTTCAGGTTGGTTATGCTGTGGGTCCAAAGGTAGCAGCCAATGGGGCATCTCATGCATGGTAATGAGCTTATCCTATTATTTCATTGATCGAAGTCAAAAACTGAACCCAAAACCTTCTCACCCACAGCTAGTAAAAAATTAATTTTGGAAGTGGATAATTTCATTCTTTCAACAACATTCTTACAAAGCTGCTAATTTTTGTTTTCTCATCTGTGATCGTGTTGTCGCATGATGCATATTTTCAGTTATTCTGTAGTATTTGTTGAATCATAAGGTACATAATTCAGGAACTTGACTGCAACTTAAGTTCTAGAACTTTTGTTCTGAAACTTCCAGAATGACATTTCTCTGTAGCTGTATCATAATATTTGTAGGTACAATTGTAGCAACTGTATTCAGTAGATTCCAGCAAACAACATATTTGTTATTCAGTTTTACCTAATCAGCCATTGTTAAGTTACACCCTAATTACTACTGCCGATAACTCTCTGCTTTAATGTAGTCTGTAGCGAGGTATATGCAACTCTGACACGCCAACTTGGGAAAAAATTCAAAGGAACTTACATTTTTCCAATGAATACACTAAGCACTGTTGATTCGTCCTGCAGCCCAAGCACCTGTGATAATGTCCTATAGAGCTATTGGAAAAAAATAATCACGGGGAAAAGGGGAACTAAAATGTTAACAAATGTTCGCATTCCTTTCAAATTCATTGAGACATCTGCACTCGGAAGCAGGAGGTCGCCGGGTTCGAGTCCCACCCAAGAAAGCTCGTGAATATTTTCGCAAGCTGAGTTACGAATATGAGACGGTGTGAGGGCTAAACCCAGTATTAAAACTAAGGTACTCTGTTCTGAGACGACCTTGCATTTTTTGAATGAACGAAGTGACAGATTCTGAATATCAGGAAAACACAGTGCATTTTTTTTTCCCTTTTACCTTGGATGATTTTTGCACCTGGTTGCCCAGGTAGATCTTAGTGAAGTGCTCAAAGAAGCTGAGCATGGCCAGGTCCAGCTTCTCGCAGCCTCCCTGGGAGAGCTTGGCGTCCGTCAGGTTCATCAACTGCAACACCCTGAAAGGACAGGGCCACAAGAACAGCCATGACTATCGTAATCGGGCAATCTATATTCCCCAAGAAACTTCCCACAAACTTGTCATATTGAGCATCTTGATTGCAAGCAGATTCAATGTTTTTTAACCCTGAATGGATTCAAATGCTTGAGCTGGTTTAACTAGGTACAAACATGGAAATACGGTTGCTCAAGCAAATTGCCAACAGGGCTGTAGCTAAGTACATTTTCATGAGTACGTCTATGAGTACAAGTACAGTGCCATGAGTGCGAGTACCTTACCATGAGTACAAGTACAGTGCCATGAGTACGAGTACCTTACCATGAGTGCAAGTATAGTGCCGCGAGTGCAAGTACCTTACAGTGAGTACAAGTACAGTGCCATGAGTACGAGTATCTTACCGTGAGTACAAGTATGTGCACTTTGCCTAGGGTGCATGTAAGAGTACTTTACCAGGAGTACAAGTGTGAGTACTTTGCCATGAATGTGGGTACTTTGCCATTAAATGAGTACGAGTTTTTTGCCATAAGTACAGGTATGAGTATTTGGCCACAAATATGAGTGAGTACTCTGCCAGTCCAAAAACAAGGTAATATTTCTTCACAGTTAAAGGACAACTTTGCCATGAGTATGAGTTTGAGAAAGAGTACTACCACACTGATCCCAATCATCGTATTTTTCACCTCACCATCACCACATCACCAAAAAACCACCCAGGAATTTGGGATCTACAAGGGATAGCACAGGTGCTTTCAGGCAGGATGGGTGTTAGGATTCCCGTGACCCCCAATGAAGTGCTCCCCTCTTCCAAAAATTCACCTGCAGACAAGCTGGCCATCCAGGGCGTCGTGCTCCTCAGCACTAGTGAAGGACACCCTGCCACCAATCTGAGACCCGATTATCAGCACCAACCACGTCAGCCGACCTTTTTTGAGAGGGGAAGGGGTGGAGGAAGGGAGGGGAAGACGACAGAGAAAGAACAAGGTGTAAATGGCTTGGTCTG